TTTACCCCCCCCCCCCCCCCCCTCCTCCCCTTAATTTTGGGGGGAGTTTTTTTTTTGGGAAAAATCTAACATGTGAAAACAAAGGTCTACAAACATGTAAATCTCCCCCTACAAAAGGGGACAAACAAGCAACAGATCCAGCAAGTCATCCACGCAGCAGAAGAGCTCTACTTCTTCCGAAAGTACGACGAAGCCATCATCTTTCTCGACCGGGTCCTGGCCAGAGGTCAAGACCAGGAGAGCGAGGCGCTAGACTCTGATACGAGGGCTTTGTTGGCCATGTACAGGGCGAGATGCAAGGCCAGGAGGGATGGGGGTAGCAGCAGCGGCGGCGGCGGCAGCGGCGGCGACGGCAGCAGCAAGCCTTGAGGTCGTTTGATGAGATGAAAATCCGTCCATTGTGTACCGTACACACCATTCCCGTCAGGGAACGTGATTCCCTGATTCCGCCGTCATCGTCCTACTCGAGACATTTGAATGTCTCATCCAACAACCCCTTTCGTCTTATCGAGAATGACACTGCACCTCTGTGCCCGCGCTCGATGAGGGTTATTGTTGTTGTTGTTGTTATCAAGAGCAATAGCAAAACGCACGTCATGATCATCCCTTGCAAAGGGGCCTCCCAGGGAAAGGAGTATTAGTTGACACGACTACCGCCTTCGACTCACTGATCCGCCCAACGCAGCGCCGCAAACCTGTTCTACTTCTACCAAGACTTATCTCCCTCCTGTCGCAAACCTCAGCCTCGTACATGGTCACGAGAAATAGGCAACGGAGGAGATGGCCTTCAATTATCATCACCATCTATAGTTCTATTTTCCTACAGACGAATATATAGATAACCTCGGTTCCGCTCATTCTCATTCGTTTGGGCACTCCTCTCTCTCTCTCTACACACACACACACATATATATGTATATGCAAGCTCAATATACCATTCTAGCTGTAAATGTACACTGCACTACCCGCTGTTTTTCTCCTTTAAAATCATCATATCAACTTCTGATAGTATTAGCTCAACTACAGAATGAAAAATGAAAAACACAACAAGCGAAAAAGACAAGCTACGGTTCTCCCACCGTACCACATTTTACCTCCCCCTCCCCCGATTGGCCAAGGCCTGCTGTACGTAATAGTATCAACAAAACAAGGCAAAACATCGGTCGAGATAATGGCAAAAGACAGGAGAGGAGCCGAAGCCAGCACATGAAAAAAAAAAGAAAAAAAGACAGCTGCCAAGGGTGAGAAGTACCGTATTGGTGGGGTGCACTGATAGTCAAGCGTACATCGAGTGCCCGAGGCCCTTCTTGACTGGTTTGGGCCTCGGATTCTTCGACAGAACAGTGGAACTCTCCTCATCCGAGCCGCCGGCAAGCGTGCGTCTGGCAACGTCTCTGGGTTCCGTATTTTGACCTGGAACTTTGGTCTGCTGCGGGAAACCGAGAGCAACGTTCTCCTTGTCAGTGTTCGAAAGCTCAATCCTCACAAAGCTAGCATTCGTCCCCGCTCCCTCGAAGTCGATCGGGCTAGCGAGTCCGGCAGCAATCTTCTTCTTGGTATCCGGGCTGTTTCCGATATCAAACGACACAGAGGTTCGCTTCGTTGCTGTCTCCGAGACCTTGGCATGCTGTTGAAACGCAGCAGTGTTTCCAATAGTGCCTTGAAAAGGCTGCGCGAACACGGAGGTACTCAGGCCCTTCTTCTCCCTCACCTTTGGCATGCCCGACGTCTTCAAGACGCCCTTGATCGTATCAGAAACCTTGGGCACGACGTTATCCTTCGCGTAATCTGAGTCTTTGACAAGAGAAACACCCAGGCGCCTCATCTGCTCTACCATGTCAACATAGCCATCCTGCTTCTCCGTAGTGGGTACCTGTGTAGTGGTGTCCTTTGGGGGTTCTTGCCGAGACCGTACAACTAGAGGATTTGTGTCTAGCATGTTGTTGCGGTAAGAGCCGTGAACAGGAAAAGCCCTGTCTGGCGAGGGTAGGGAGATTCCGTCAGTGTGCGCGGGATTTCCATTTCCTGCAAGGGCGGAAGAAAACCTAGAGTCGCTGACATCTTTCTGGTGGACAGTTTCTGGGGTTCGAAGGGCAGTGTGACTAGACCAGGCCTTGGCTACCGCGGACGTTATCGTGTTATCGTAGGTATGACCGGTATAGCTCAGTGTGTTGGGCATGAAGGAATCGAGCTTTCCACTGCCTTCGCTAGGTACCGTGGCACGATCCTTGAGCTTTACGAGGCTCTCGGGGCTGTAAGTGATTGGCTTCCGAATGTCCTTCATGGGCTTTGGTGTCTCGGCGACTGGAGTCCCTCTGTTGCTGCTTCTCTTGCACTTGGCAAGAGAGCCAACCAGGGAAACAAATTGTTGAGTGATCTCGCGGTGTTCGCACCTCATGCGACCAGGAAGTGCCTGGGCCAATGTTTCCGATAATTCGCCACGAACTATGGACGTTATATCCATGCAGGATCCCCAGGCTAACTCTGCATCAGCGACCCTGTCGATAAGTCGAATGGCATCCTTTGATGCGCGTTTGAAGTCGATCCCTTCCCCTGAATTTATGTCATAGTCGCCCAGGTCCAAAAGGGGCATCGCATCAGCCAGATCTAGGGTGGGTTGCCTCTTGCTGCCACTCTTGCTGCCATCCTCGGCAGGTCTCTTGTGCCCACCATCTTTGCGTGGCGAACTCTGGCCGTTTTGCAACGGTGTGATCGGGACCTTCAGCTGCGTGGACTCCTGTGAGATCGATTCATGTCTGTCTGAGTTTCCGAGTTGCGTGCTTATCGCGATTTTCTTGACTAGCCCTAGTGCCTGGCAAAACTGGGCTGTCTTCTCAACAGATTTCAGCTCGATCCAGAGTCTCTCTATCGGAGGAGACTCGTGTGTGTAAATAGCGCAGAATCGCTTTTCCTGCAGACAGGGTGGCGTGTCGATTTCGGAGAGAGGGTAAGAACGAACGGCAAAGCCTCGCCTAGAAAGATGGAGGAAGCCCTCCAGATTGCCGGACAAGGCATCAAACTGCATGTTGATTGCAAACATCGCAATAGACGGGCTGCTGGTGGTCCTGGCCGGGTATACAATGCATTGTCCACTGCACATATTCCATCTAACCCACCGCTGTTCCACGCCCATGATGTTGAAAGTGATGTCACAGTCACGGATGGACTTTTCAACTACACCCTCTGCGTGTGTACCGGGTACAGTGGGGACTCTGGAGTTGAAATTCTGCATGTCTGCTGAAGAAGTGGCCCGCCCGGAGGGAGACGCGAGCTTCAGGGGGGCCGCCGTTGTAGACGTAAACGTGGTCTTTGGGATAGACTTAGAAGATGGCAGTACCGGGAAAGAATATGCAGTCCCAGATGAAGAGCCAGTCTTGTACAGAGAAGCCCGTGTAAGAAGAGACGCAGCCTCGGAAGGCGATGCGGCCTTGGAGACGGACGGCACTGTAGAAGAATTCCAGGTCCTGGGTGGAGACGATGTTCTCGATCTCTCAGCAAGTCGACTCCTTCTTGTGGGCAGCGCCTTCCTGTGAACGAACGAATCTTGAGCGGGCAGATTTTTGCGCGCATGAGACTTCTTGCGTTTGAGCGGCGATGCTTTGGTGACTTTGTTCGACGGCTTGTAGCTGTAGCTTTCCAAAACGTTGGTCAGTGCGAACCATCATTCCTGAAAGGATATATAGAATACATACAATTCGGGCTTTTTGACATCAATGGGTTCCTGCTGTTGCCCATGGCGCCAGGAAAACTCACCCACCTCTAGGCCGTCGACTTGCCGTGACTCTTCGTCGTCAATCTGGGCTGGTGAGCCTGGTTAGCAAATCGGAAGTGGCTCCTTCTGCTCTTTGCTTCCTTCAAAGACTCACAACCCCAGGCCTTTGCAAGGGCCAGCTTTGTTTTTTTGGGGATGCGATCCAGGCCGTTATTTTGTCTCGGAGTGTATGGAGCGAACTTGGTGTGCGTCTCGAGGGGAAATTCCTCCTGCCTGTGACGACCAAGATCGTCCTGAGACAGCACGGGTCAGTGCCAAGATATCTATGGGCCATCTTGGGATGGGAAAATCTTACCAACGCAAACATCCACAGCTCAGAGTCCTCCTGGGCCGCCCCTGACATGGTGATGTTGTTCTTGCAGACAGGCATGCAAGGGGAATCAGGCTCAACGGAAGTCCCTAAAGGAATATTGCAGTCGGGTCGTGGTGTAGAACACGATGGCGCAGCGGCTTTGGGGAAATTCTCCTATGGGCAAAGAACCAGGACAGGAAGATGTAGGAAGGTGAGCGGACTAGGTAAAAAGAAGGGGAACAGGTTGCCCAAGATACAGGGCCTTGTCATCTTATTGAGAATCCTAGCCCAAGTTGGCGTGTCGGTTGTTGGCAGCTGTTGGCAGCTATCCCAACTGAAGACTGGTGACTGGGAATAGCTGACACGCCAACACTTGAATAGATAAGAAGTGAAGGAGAGCCCCTTTTAATGCTCTTCGTATCAAGCATGGACATTTCCGATGGTTCTATCAGGGAATACATCGAGGGAGCGAAGGGGCTCCTGCCACTTCTTACCAGTCGTTCCTTCTCTCCATCCCTCCTTCTTATCTAGAACTCACTCCTTCACTTACCCCAAGCAAACGTCCAGATCTGTATACAGTGACCGGTTGTATCTTATGAAAGATTGAATATACTCTGTCAACTTCTACTCCTCTCCATATGGCATTAGAGCGGACTGATGTCATGTCTGTGGATCCTTGTTTGACGGTTCATATATCGCTGACAGCGCCTCCATCTATGGCGTAGTGGCTGTCTCGGGAAAGCGCATGGGCCCCCGCGTCTAGAGAATCTGCCAAAACCAACGAGCCAGGCCAAGAAGCCAATGTAGCTCGGAACACAGAGCGCGAGGGGAATATCAAACTGGGAGAGCGCAAGGCACTGGCCCAGGAAGTCGGGAGGCTGACGTTGTCAAGGCTCAACGACTGTCGAACTACTTGTACCAAGGTGATACAAACCAACTAACACTAGGTACCGCCGCCGTATTGTGTTAGATAAACCAGACGCTCTGCCACTCTCGGGCTACCCCGGTATTGACATGAATCCGTCATGATCTACATTATTAGTTCCTCAGGGGGCCTCATCAGCTGCGCAGTAATGAGGACTCAGCAGACCTACGGCGGATCTATAACGAGGTTATAGATGATTTCCCCTTCATATAGCTAAAGCCTCTCTTTTCCTTCTTGCTCTCCCTTATCGCTGATAAAGGTTATCAAGGCTACTAAACTAGACTAGTGAGATCAGCTAGTCACACTAAAGTTATTAATAAGGTCGTTACACCCCGCACTAATCAGATTGACTTCTATCGTATGGATTATTAATGGTGTTTTAGCGGTATCACCAAGTTAAATACGCTAGGGTCAATCGAATAGCTATAGGCCGTCTTATGAAGGGACTTAATGCACAAGTTCATGCGCGCTTTCAATGCGAAGTGAACATTACACCTGTGCCTTAAGGGCGGAAAAATGCGGGCTTATTGAGATAAGTCTTAGAATTAAAGGAAATACACCAGAGAACTAAGTTTTCATTGTATTATTAATAGTCTCCTGATCTGGCAGGAAACGGTGTTATTGCCACAAGGCTGTTGATGGCCTAAGGCCACAAGGTTAGGTGTTTTAGCTAAGCCTCCTGTTTTCTCCATCACGCATTCGTGCGCACTAGCTAGTTGGAGGGATCACCATCACGTTCATTTTTCCTCTTGTGTGTGCCCCCTCCTGGTGCCTAGCAGTGTCTGATATCGTGACAGAGTCCACCTTTTATAGTTGTGGTACGCATTCCCCCTAAGAACCCGAACTTGACCGGATCTCTCATTCTGCCATCCTTTCAATACGCGGCATCTCCATCAGAAGTGTGAGGATGGGAATGAGGATCGTATCATCAAGCTAACCAAGGGGAAAGTGAGAAAGTGAAGGGAAGACGAAACAGAAAGGCATCATACCTGTTAGTTTAAACATCCTCGTACAACACACCAGATGCGTTGAGGGGACCCAAGCGCAACCGATTAAAGACGAAGTCTCCCCCAACACAGCAACACACAGAAAGCGACCATACCGATTGCCTAAGATGCAACAGAGTAAACATCGATACATGGATAATCAATCAGGCTCCATCATTCCGCCACATCTCGAACCTGTCCGGCACCAATGGATATGGGAAGATGATTGGACAGGTATCACAGACAGTGCCAAGCGAAAGAAATTGCAGAATCGCCTTAACCAGAGGGCATACCGTATGAGTATGTGGATCAGGGCATGTTTTTATTGTTTTCTTCCTCCCTCTTCTATACGGTTGTTGACTCAATTCCCAGAGGTCAGGCAGCAGGCCAAGAGTAGAGGGCAGTCCGGTACTAGAGCGTCTGAACAGGCCGTTATCGCGACAGTACCAGCACCGCCTCATGAATCACACGAAGAGGACACAGAAGTAGTCAGAGTCATCTGCCCCGATTCAGGTGCCTCCCCGACCTCCCGGAAACGGGGCATGCGACACTGCAACATGCACGACGTTGTAAACATCGTGGAGCTTCTCGCCCGCCGCGCATATATAGAGTACTGCATGGGCATGCGCAACATAGGCAATCTCCCCACGCTCACAAAGATCAACGTCTTCCGGGGTCTCTTTCGCAACGCCGAAATCCTAGGCAGCACAGCCGAGTGTATCGCCTACGATGCCATGTCGTCCGCGACGGCCTACGCACCGACGCCGAGTGGCTCCATATCCCTGTCCTGTCCCGACAGTCTGAAGCCGACAGACCTGCAGCGCAGCACGAAGCATAACCCGTGGATCGACCTGTTTCCTCTGCCGCGCATGCGCGATAACTGCATTTTTGCCTTTCACGGGCCGGACCCTCTGGACAATGATGACCTGCGTAGCGACGTTCTCGAGGTTGGGCTTGATGCCCCCTCGGCAGCGGACATGCAATTGCTTGTTTGGGGGAACCCGTGGGATCCTCGGAACTGGGAGGTCAGCGAGGCGTTTGTGAAGAAGTGGGGGATGTTGCTGCGTGGGTGCGACGAGATTCTCCAGTCGACGAATTACTGGAGGCAGATGAGGGGGGAGAAGAAACTAGCGATAGAGTATTCCGCATGATTGAGTTGGCGTTTGGGCTGTGTTTTTTTTTTTTTTTTTTTTTTTGCGTTAGCTGATGCATTATATATAGAAATCATAGATGCACTTTTGATACACGATGTTTCCTCTTCGGCAAATCTTCAAGGGCGTGATTGTGTGTCTCTCCGACGATTTATCGCGATACCGGGGCATCCAGGCAAGAGGTATTGAGCAAGCAACGTTACCAGACGGAATGCACTGTTAGACAAGACCACGGGTATTGTTCACGAGATCGAATTCCTCGCCTGTCACTAAGACAGCATGTAGCTTCTTTTCGAAATCTAATCTGTAAGAGTAAACACCTACACAAGCTAGGTTTGATGATATCAATCCCATGCTTGGCAACACCGGAAACAGCCGCCTGCATATTCCCCCTTGGTATTAAGGGAATAACACTAGCATCACACCCCAAAGCAGGTTCCTGGTGCCGTGCACGCGCAGCTGCGGATCAACAACACCCCCCTCGGAGCTCACAGTGACGATGATGTTGTTCTGTAAATCCCCGCCCACGTGGAGGTTGCCAACGATGACGTCGATTCCCAGCCGCTGCAGAAGGACTGTTGGTCCCGATACCGGGCTTTTTCATCAGGGCGGGCGAGTTGACAATACCAGCGGCCAGGATGACTTCTTTCTGGGCGAAGTCAGTCTTGATTCCTGATCCCATTTTATTTGGTGGATCGGATACCGTCCGCCGCGGCCGACCCTTGCTGGCCGTCAGGCTTGGATAGGAGAATCGTGTCGACGATAACTCCCGTTGTGACAGTCAGGTTGGCGCAACCGAGCGCCAGCACCAGGTATGCACTGGGGAAAGATCTTCGCGTCCTGGTCGTCGGGCTGATGCACTTCGGATTGACGATCGGGCCGTTTGCATCGCCACGTGACAGAGCTCGCCAGTGCGTCGTTCCGGATGGACAGTTGTCTCCGCCCGTACTGGTCGGGATGTGACGCCTAGAAGGAGCCGCAGCCGGATGTTGCGGAGCCTGACTGCTAGTCACGGGTTAATATGAAGGCCTTCTGGAAGGATCAGTAGAAAGATGGCCACTCCCATACGGGTTTGCCAAGCTTTGCTAACGCTTCGACGTCGGACTTGGGTGGCGATGAAGATGAGGCTGTTGATAGCGCTAGTGCCACTGAGAACTTTGCCATGGGTGAAGGGAACCTGGCGGTTGCCAAGATGGATCTGCGTTTCTATTATTAGATTATCCTACAGTCGTACACTGTGTAATGGCCGCCCGTGCCCGATTAACTCTGTCGAGTTTCCAGTCCGAGGGACTCTTGATCGATGTAGCCCAGAGGGCGCGAGTGTTGACTCGCGGGTCATTCTTCTGGTGGACACCAGCTAACTTGCAGGCCTGGGTTTTCCGAGAGACGCACTGCGAGAACGAGACCGGCTGTGCCGCCGATAACAATGGCATCGTAGCTGTCGTCTGTCATGGTGAAATGTGCTTTTGCCTGTCTATATATATCGACGCGATGTCTTGAATAAGATGCAGACGGCAGTGGGCTGTACGAGGGCGTCGACCCCACTTTATATATGTGACGTTATGTATGGACTTGTAGAACAATACTAAATCACTGCCTACGTGTTGTGATTTGACTGCATTTGCAATCATCATGGTAAGACAAATGATTCCCTATGCCACTTCTCAAGAACACTACATGATCCGCCAAATAGCGATGCCGGTAGCTGATGGCTCGGTCTATTGCTGATGGCTCAGTTATTGTTGCCATCAGAGCGAGCCCCGCATATCGTCGTTACGTATCAATTAGCAGCATGTGTGTTTTGCGTCATGGTTGAGAATGTATGCACGTGATATCGATGACACAAGGATGATGGGAGACTGAACAGTCGTCGCCGTTTGGCTGGTGAGGCTCACGAATCTGCCAATAATGAGCCTCACCAATACCCCAAGACAGATGGAGAATACACATCGACAGATCTCACGTCTTTTTTTATGACCGGTCAAGCTAGGTCGATGGCGAGATGGGATAGTGATATCTCTTGGTGACGGTCACGGCCCGTGCGCATACCGGGAGCGTCATGTATCTGCATAACCTGCTGCTCTACAAGCATAGGATAGGAACATATCTGATCGTCTAGAGTCGAAATCAAATAGACTCATCAACGAAAAGATGGGCGACATTTGTGCCAATACAGGCGTTGTAGTAATGTATATTCGTGGGACCTTTCGGGTTCGTTGACGACGCGAGGAAAGAGTGGCTGAGCCTGCCAGCGTGCGGGAAGGACTTGAAGAGGATTGTGGCGTTGTGGCACTAATATGTTTATTTTTGGATGTATGGAGTAGGCAGGATAGACTTTTGCTAATGACGGATACTAGAAATACTACGAGTAAGACGGAGGAGGGGGGAAACATGGTTACGAGGGTTCAACGAAAACTTGGTATCCTCTTCTTGTACAAAAGCCGCGTGTGCGGTACGAGTACAGTATATTTTTAGCTTACAGAAGTTCCTTCACAACTATCGGCCAATACATGCGCGTTGAAACGTCTCTTTTTCTTTTCTTTTCAGATTATATGAAGTGCGTACGGTACACTAGTGCATGGGCAAAGAAGAAGAACAAAAAAGATGACGTATGATGGTTCTTCAGACGATAGGACATGTGGCTGAGTTTGGGGTTGCTGCTGTACCTACTCCAATGGCCGGAAGCACACTGGTCAGATTGACCGCTGATAAACGGTAGCGACCCCCAGGATTGGGAAAAGTCCAGAGATGGAGAAAGAAAAGGAAGAGGGAAGGGAAAGCGATAAGAAAAGTGAAAGGAGGCCTCGGGCAAGAAGAGGAAGAAGAAAAGGCAAGAAATAATATGTGTAGAATGCGAAATTGGGACCGACATTCTAGGGGCCAGGGATGAAACCCCTCGCGACTCCCTCCCTCCCCTGTCCTCTCGGCTCGCAGTTTTGTGTGAAATTGGTGCGACGTCACTGTACAAGTACGGATGGAGGAATTAGAGGTAGGGTCCCCGGGTGGCTTAGTGGGGCTTTGCAGCGTTGCCCCGGTGCATCTTGGCGGGGCTGAAACCTTTGAGAATGAACATCGCCCGTCAGAAAAGGGACCCCCTGCAACGCCTGACCTGAAAATTATTATTGCGTCGTCGTAGGTAATCGTGAAGAGTAATTTCCAGCCCTGCACAGATACGTTGAGGTTTAATAGGCGTCGTTATCGTGGTATCTGCTGCTCTGGTGGGCAGTAATATCCGTGTCTGCTTCTCATCCTCTGGGGACCGACTCGTGGTATTATTAGATATTACTACGGAGGATGATACGTGTATTAGCAGGCATGCATTTGGGCGGAATAAGTCCGGGTATAATAGCAGAGTCGTACGTCAGATTATGCGATAAGCCACTGTTCGTCCCGTTGCCTGGGCGCCAGAAGCCGCTAATCAATTACGCTGTCCCGGCACGGGGCAACGACGTTTACGAATATGTGGTCGTTTTATTATGAGGCACAAACAGACGACGACGCGCACGAGTAATGATGCCGAGTATCGATACTGGCGAGTGACGTTCTGTACATATACAGTCCACGGAGCTTGAAGTCGCACACAGCAGAAAGGGAGAGAGCGAGAGGTGCGAGACGAGAGGTGCGAGACGGGGGGATTGAACCGATGCGTGCCATTCACTCGCTCTCGTCCCATGGATGGCATGGCATGTTCCATGTTCCAGGATCTTCTCCACCGAGCCAATGCAAGGCCGTCCACTAATGATACAACAAGCTAGGTCAAGTGCCTGGCACCTCGGAGGGATGGATGGATCGACTTGGGCGGTGCATCGCCTACCAGTTCAGAGGCTGACCCCTAAAACCGCCTGCTGGCTAGTCCGAGGTTACTGCTACCAGTCTACCATCCATGGGCCATGGGCCATGGCGGAGTAATCTGTACAAGTACTCGTACTCCGTACTGCTAGCCTGCAATAATACGGCATAATTGACCGAACAATAGCCTGTAGATCCCGTTGTCCTGCCACACGCGCCCTGGCACCGTCTGGTCCGGCATCGTCTGGACTCTAGCCTATTCCAGTGGCTCTTTGGCTCTTCGGCTGCGTCTCCCATTCCAATCGCCATTATCCTTGCGGGCAGCTACCAACCGACACCGCGGCGGCCCGTCGCCTGTAGAATCTCAAGTGCGAGACCACCGCTCCTTCCCCCCCTGTGACTTTCTTTCTTTTTTTTTTTTTTTGCCTTCCCTTCCTGTCCCTTCTCCTTCCTCCTCCTCTATCTCTCTCACCCACCCCTGGTCTCTGTTGCGACGCTACAATTCCTTCCCTTTGTTTTGTGCCAGTCTCGTCTTTCTTGGCCAGGAGAGAAGAGATAGCTCCAGAGCCTGCCCATCCGTCTCTGTGCTGCTCGACTGTGGTACCTCTTGGCTCCTTCACCTTTCGCACAACAATAGCGACAACAACAACAAACACGGGCCAGCCTCGCCAAGCTACCAGGGTCACACCAGCATACAAATCCTCGCGCCCTCGTCCTCCACTCTCACCCCCCGCTGTCCCAGAGCACTCTTTCATACTACCCTGGGACGATCTACGAGGGCGTGACTGCAATCATTAACCATGTCGTATAATCGGTTAGGCAAGTCAACTCCGTCCCCCCTTTTCCTTTGTGTCTTTGTCGTGTCCTTGTCGCTTGCCTTTGCATCGCACGCCTCAGACTTCTGAGCCCCTCCACCCCCCAAGTCAGCATAATCCTGGCTGAAACACATTTGCGACTCCGTCGCGCCTTCGGATGCCTTGACCACCAACCGTCTGCTCGCCTCTTTACCTCGCGCTGTCTCTCTTCTCCTTGCGTTCCGAGTTCGCGACAGACAAGCGCCTGCTGCTACCATACCACCACTCTTGCCTACCTCGCGCCTTGCATCAAGCCTAGCGACGATAGACAGAGAGGGAGAATCAGCCTGCTGACATTGACGCCGACACCTTTCAGACGACGACTATTACGGAGACCACATGGATCCCCGTGGCGGCCCGTACCATCGTACGCCCTCTCCAGGCCATCCGGCCCAGCATGGCTACCAGCTAGACGACAACCCGTACGGCCAGCATCCGTCCAACCTCGACATGCCTCAAGGCCCGCCCGCCAGGTACGGCTCCCCGGGAGTCTACCAGCAACAGCAGTATGGCGCTCAGATGGATCGCATGGGCACCCCTAGCGACCACCTCGCTTTCAACCCCCCGGTAAGTTAGTTGTTCGAGCGTTCTGTCGACCGCCGATACGCCATCTGGGTCCTGCGACTGACCATGCCGTTCATAGCAATCCGTCGACAACCTCTCCGGGTATGGCGCTGGCAGCCAACACTCCGGTGACTACGCCGTGAACCCGGAAGCCCACCACGATGCCTACTATAACCAGCCCTACCAGCCGAGCCCGAGTCCCGTTGACCACCAAGCCTACGAGACCGACCCGCGCCGCCCGATGCTGGGCCAGGGCGGAGACCTCGGCGCCTCGGACGAACCCTACGAAGACGCTCCCGTTCAGTCTGGAGGTCTGAGACGATGGAAGACGGTCAAGCAGGTTCTCCTCTACCGCGGCAACCTCGTCCTCGATTGCCCTGTGCCTCCCATCATGCTCCAGCAGAACCCCCACGGCGAGCGCGACGAGTTCACCCACATGCGCTACTCGGCTGCCACCTGCGACCCCGATGACTTTTACAACGAGAACTTTACCCTGCGTCAGAAGCTATTCAGCAAGCCGCGTCATACCGAAATCTTCATCGTCGTCACCATGTACAATGAGGATGATGTCCTCTTCGCCAGAACCATCATTGGCGTGTTCAAGAACATCGAGTACATGTGCAACCGACCCAACAGCAAGACCTGGGGCAAGGATGCTTGGAAGAAGATTGTCGTCTGTGTCGTCAGCGATGGCCGCTCCAAGATCAACCCCCGTACCCGGGCTCTTCTCGCCGGTATGGGTGTCTATCAGGAGGGTATCGCCAAGCAGCAGGTCAACAACAAGGATGTGACAGCCCACATCTACGAGTATACCACCCAGACCCACCCGGTGCTCAAGAATAACGTTGTCTCTCTCGTCCACCGTCGCCAGCCCGTTCAGATGCTCTTCTGCCTCAAGGAGAAGAACCAGAAGAAGATCAACTCGCATCGTTGGTTCTTCTCGGCTTTCGGGAAGGTTCTAGACCCCAATATCTGTGTCCTTCTCGATGCCGGTACGCGTCCTGGTGGTAGCTCCGTCTACCACCTGTGGAAGGCCTTCGACCTCGAGCCCATGTGCGGTGGCGCCTGTGGTGAGATCAAGGCCATGCTGGGAAAGGGCGGCAAGTATCTCCTGAACCCTCTGGTTGCGACGCAGAACTTTGAATACAAGATGAGCAACATCCTCGACAAGCCGCTCGAATCTGCCTTTGGCTTTATCTCTGTGCTTCCCGGTGCCTTCTCGGCCTACCGGTACGTCGCCTTGCAGAACGACAAGAATGGCCAAGGTCCGCTGCAGAAGTACTTCCTCGGTGAGACGCTGCACGGCGGAGCCAAGGCCGGCATGTTTGAGTCCAACATGTACCTTGCCGAGGATCGTATCCTCTGCTTCGAACTCGTCTCCAAGCGCAACTCCCGCTGGATCTTGCAGTACGTCAAGTCGGCTACGGGTGAGACCGATGTGCCCGACACTGTCACCGAGCTGGTCCTCCAGCGACGACGTTGGCTCAACGGCTCCTTCTTTGCCGCCATCTACTCGATTGTTCACTTCTACGACTTCTTCCGTTCCGGTCACTCTATTCTGCGCAAGTTCGCTCTGCTCGTCGAGACCATCTTCATGGCCGTCAACATGATCTTTGCCTGGTTTGCTATCGGCAACTTCTTTTTGGTCTTCAAGATTCTCACGACAAGTCTCGGCTCCGACGATCTGCTTGGTAGGACTGGCGAGATCTTGGGTGTCATCTTCACCTGGGTCTATGGCACCTTCCTCGTGACCTGCTTTGTTCTGTCTATGGGTAACCGTCCAGCCGGATCTGGAAAGCTCTACACAGCCATGGTCTGGTTCTGGGCTGGCCTGATGATGTAAGTCTTCCTGCACCCCACTGCCAGGGTCCTTTGGCTAGGGTTTCTCCGTGAGGAAAGAGGAAAGCGTGTGCTGATTGATCATCTACAGTTACCTCATGTTTGCGGCCGTCTTCATTGCCGTGAAAGCCATTATCAAGGATGTCAACGACGAGGATGGCTTCACTGTCGATCAGCTCTTTAAGAACGAAGTCTTCTACACGCTCATCGTTTCAGTCATGTCCACCTTTGGAATCTGGCTCATTGCCTCCCTCCTCATGTTCGACCCGTGGCACATGTTTACGTCTCTGCCGCAGTACATGCTCCTGACCCCGACATACACCAACGTCCTCAACGTCTACGCCTTTTGCAACACGCACGATGTCTCGTGGGGTACCAAGGGTGACGACAAGGCTGAGAAGCTGCCGTCGGTCCATACCAAGGACGGAACGGCCAAGACAGACCTCCCCGACGAGGGAGACCTCAACGCCCAATACCAGCGCGAGCTGACTGTCTTCAGCACCAAGTACAAGGAGGTCAAGCAGGAGCCGACCGCGGCCCAGCAGCAGGAGAAGCAGCTGGACTACTACCGTGGTGTGCGCACCGGTGTCGTCCTCATCTGGATGATTTCCAACTTTGCGCTGGCGGCTGTGGTGCTGAGCTCCGGAGGACTAGACATGATTGTGTCGGGAAAGGAGGCGTCTGACGACGATGAGACAGAGAGGAGTAACGTCTACATGGCAATCGTCCTATGGAGCGTCGCTGCACTGAGTGCCTTCAAGTTCCTGGGAGCCTGCTGGTTCTTGATTGTTCGCATGTTTAGGGGTGTCTGATATTCAGCCTCTTTTGCTTCATATTCTTTCTTTCTTTTTGCCTTTTTTTTTCGTCTCGTTTTTTTCTCTTGCGCCACGTCTTCCACCTCTGCTCCATCTGGGCGGTCAAAGGTGCAGAACATATTTTCACAGCATTGCGGCATTACTCATTCTCATTTTTCATGTTGATTTTCTTTTTCATTTCTTCTGTTTGATTCCCTGTTCAATTATACCCGTTAACGACAGCCGGGGAAAGGTGACATGGAGAATTGTGTATTCTGATTTGCAGGGGAGGGGGAGCAAAGTAGGTCATGTCTAGGAAGCGAAGGAAACATGTCTTCTTTTTTCAACACTTCTCTTGTTATTTATCTGGGGTTGTATAGATGTTGAACGATGGTGGACTTGACGCATGACATAACCATACTGACCTTGTTTCGGGTTATATGACCATGGCGTTTGAATCTTTTGTTTGTGTTATCTTGCTTCTTATTTTTTTTATAACATCTTTATATAGCATTCTGCTCTGTGGCTTTGTGAATTGGATCATCTACTGTCTGAAATGGACCCCATACATCATGACGCATTATTTTTTTTTTTTTTTGGTTTTTTTTTTGGAGGATATGAGACGCCAAGTCCCACATCATCAGTTGGGTGTCTCATCATTGCTGTTGATGATCTTCCTCCTGATCAGGTTCACGAGGGGTATTGGGTGCAGCGGTAGAATCTTGAGATAGAGGTGCCTGCTCATAAACGTGATGGTCAAGCTCGTCGTCTTCGAGAAGTCTGCTCCCCTCAGGAGGGAAATGGGAGAAGAGGAGGATACCGGTTGCGATGACGGCAACGGCCTGTGGGAGACGTCAGCGTGGGGTTCATCCTTGCAGCACGACGGATCCAAGTGACTGGTACTCCCCTCCCCACACGGAAAAGGGGGGCGGGGGGGTTGTCGCAAGGTGTACGCAAGTGTGTGTGCGAGTGAGAGAAGAAGAATGAGAAGGACGAGGGTAGGAAGGGTAAACTCACAGCATTGATATAGAAAGTAACATAGGCCTTGCCAGCTTCGGCAAGACTGGCAAAGACGAAACCGAAGAAACCCTGGGTGGCGAGACGGGCGACGTTCTCGATCAGCGTGACGGCGTTGAGGGCGTCTGCGCGCTGCGACTCGGGACACATTTCCGTGATGACACCCTTTGCCGCGGGGGCGGAGCCGGAGCCTAGGGGAAGGAGGAAGGCGGCTGTGCGTACATGTTTCTCAATCAGTATACTGCACATCGACTCTCGATCCTCCTCTATGTACCGGTTCACGGATTGACGATTCATCAAAGGGGGGAGAAGAGGAAGAGCGGCTCACCAAAGTAGATATGCCATGACTTGGTAGCAAAAGCGGCAACGGTAGTCAGGGCACCATCCACCACTAGGCTCCATCGCAGAAGAACCAGGTCGAAGAGGTACGTCTCCTTTGTGCCGAGGGCGGGGGCCTTGACGGGTTCCATGTCCGTCTGCTCACCCGGCGCGGCGTCAAAGTCGCCTGGGGAAGTAGGGATGATCGTTCTGTCGTCGTCGTCACTGGGGCAGACTAGCCTCTGCTCTTCTCCTCCTCGCTCTTCCTCAGTGGTGCTGATGGCGATGGCAGCAGGAGCGGTAGCATCACCCTTGGCGTCGCGGGTGGCTGGTGTCCATCGCCGCCTTCCCCAGTTGATGATGGGGGGAAACATGAAGATGAGAAAGATGCTCCGCATGAGGGCGAATTCGGCCATGAGCCATCCGTTGGCTGCCTGGTCGAACTCGAAGGCGGCGGTGGCGTAGATTTGAATGAGGAAGGGGGCGTATCCGGTCGCAAGCTGTCGGGATGTCAGGAAGGGATCGTCCTGATAGTTGGGGGAGAAGGAGAGAAGATGGATGAGAGAGGAGGAGGGATTGGGGGGGGTTGGATGGTGAGGAATAGCAAGGAAGGACATACGACTCCGACAAAGATGCCACTGCAGAGAAAGATGACGCCATAGTGTCTGCGGACGGCGCCGCTGGCCAGTCGCAGGCGCTGCGGGACGAGAATACGCAAGGGGGCTAGGAAGCCGGCGATGCCTCCCTCTCGGTCGGCCTTCTTGGCGTCTGACAAGGAGTCGGGCGGGATGTACGGCAGGGCGAAGCGGACGTAGACGGATGCTACGAGGAAGAAGACGAAGGCGACGTCAAAGGGGGCGCGGATGTCGATGGCGTCGCCAATCATACCACCGACTATGGTTGTCAGCCGGCATCACAGATGCATCGATACATCGTGCACGCATTGATGTTATATATAGGGAGAGGGAGAGGGGGAGGCATGAGAGGAGAGGCAGGGGAGAGATATATATATGCAAAGTGGGTAGACTTACTCAGGAATCCGATTCCTTGCCCCAGCATGATGCAGCCCTGGAGTTGGCCAAATACTGCGGTACGACGCTTTGGTTCAACGACTTCGCCGGCGATGATGTTGATGACGAGGCTAGAATCAGACAGGCCATCGATCGATCAGCTTAGGAGTGCCCGGGTAAAGGACGAATGTAGGACGAGCGAGCGAGCGAAGAAGAGAGAGAGGGAGAGAGCAAGGACGACGTACATGTAGCCGGCCGGTCCACCGATGACGGTAATGGCCTGGGTGGCCTGGATGATGATCATTCCCGTGCTCTTACCGGCGACAACGCCGAGGATCTGGGTGGCCACGCGGATGGCCGGGATGACGGTCTGAGCGATCAGGGAAGATCGGGGGCCGAACTTCTTGACCATCCAGCCTGTTACGAAGAGGTTGAGGGTTCCTGAGAGGGAGTCAGAGTTGCTGTTCTACAACGACCATTTGATTCTGATGTACGGGTTGGAACAGAGAAGAAGAAGAGATGAAACAGAAAGAGGGAGAGAGAGAGAGAGAGAGAGAGGCCGTCGACACTTACCGCACAGAGTCGTGCTCATGCCGAGGATACTAAACTCGGTAGCTGTCCTGGCAGTGATGGCGTCGACGCTGCATCGATCTCCGGACCCCTCGTAGGGTGGATGCGTATCGTAGTAGACGTCACATGTCATGAGATGAAAGACGTAAAAGAGACTAGTTCACCAGACAAAGAAGGATACGGTCAGGAAGGGAAAAAATGTAAGAGGAAAGGATTCTTGTTGTTGTGGTGCGGAATTCTTATGCTCTGCTCCTTACACAAAAGGAGAGGATTCAAGAGGGAGAATTGAACATACGGCACTTGAGTGAAGCTAAAGGAGAGGGTGATGAGAAAGCCAGCAAAGAGGATGAGATTCTCGACGCCCAATGCACGGCTGAGCCATGACGGTGATGGTGATTGGGAATCAGATCCAGACCGAGCAGACACCGAGTTTGGCAGCGAATCCGCGCTAGACCGACGGATCAGCGGCGTAGCCTCATTCGTGGTCGCCATGACGGAAAAGAAGAAGAAAGAGAAAAGGAAAGAAAGTTATCTGTCAATGAGACAGCATATATATGCAGCCACGTGAGAAGAGGGGAGGAGGGGTAGGAGAGAAGAAAAGAAGGGAAGGGATGCAGAAGAGAGAGAGAGATAGAGAGAAGGAGAGATAAAAAAGAGAGAGACGGAGAAAAGAGAGACGGAGAAAGAAAAAAAAAAGATTACGTGCCTGCAGAGGCTCTCACCATAGATTGCAGCGAATATGCGGGATAGCGGGTAACGGAGAGAAGAGAGAAAAGAGGGACAGGATGGTAATAAAGAGTGAGGAGAGATTTCGGGATTAATACATAAAGTCACGATCGTTAGTCCCGATATGACCGGTGGGCCGGAGTGGATAGAAGCATATCCTGCCCTTTCGGGAACAGTCGCCGTTATCGGGGCCGGACGGGAGGGTCTTGGGGGTCTTGGGGGTCTTGGGGGTCTCGATGCGTGCCCCGGGATTGACGGGGGACTATGGGATGCAATACACTGTCGGATGTATGGGGCAGCGGTTTTGGTCATTGGGATATCTGCCATGGGGGGATCCGTGACCTTGATATATATATGCCTTTGGGTGGGAGGAACTAATGCATTTTCTCAGCCTTGGCAGTGAAACGAGGACGGCCATGATTCATACACGCATCACATGCATAACATGCATAGAATATAGAATAATACAGCTCGAGACTTGTACGAGACGATAGTCCCGAATGCTCTTCCTTTTGTTATTGTTTATTCTCATCCTTCTTCTTCTTCTCCTTCTTCTTCTCCTTCTTCTTCTCCTTCTTCTTCTCCTTCTTCTTCTCCTTCTTCTTCTCCTTCTTCTTCTCCTTCTTCTTGTTTGTTTATTTCATCTTAATCTTTTTTTTTCTCCTGGCTCCCAGCAGTGACACATCTACCTATACCTCCAATCGTCCGAGGTCAGATCCGTCCTGATACGATACCAGTCCTCGGCCTTCTTCAGCACGCCCAGGTCGAGATCGATGACCTGCAGGCCCTCGTCCTCGTCGCTGGCGCCCAGCCGACCGAGGAAGGGCATCCCCACGCCGCTGAAGCCGCCGGAGTTGCAGAAGATGACGGCGGCGGTGTTCTCGAAGGCGCGCAGCGTCACCGCGCTCTCGAGGAAGACGCGCTCGGACTGGAGGTTGAGGGCGAGACCCTGGCTGCCGGCGTCGTCGAGGAACCAGTACGACGGGATGATGACGACGTCGGCCCCGTCGGCGGCGAGCTGCCGGAAGGCCTCGGGGAAGGCCAGGTCCCAGCAGATCAGGAGTCCGGCCCGTATCGGCCTGCCGTCGTCGTCCACCAGGCCCGTGTCGAACGATCGGTGGGGCTCGGTCCCGGCTACCAGGTCGTCCCGCTCCGTGCGCCACAGGTTCCGCTTCTGATACGTCCCGCGGATCTCCCCCGTCCCCGCCGCGATGAAGTGCGCGACGTTCCTGAAACGGTGGGCCGTCGTCGTCGTCGTCGTCGTCGTCGATGACGATGACGCCGGCTCGTCGTGCGAGTAGCAGATCGTCCCAGGAACGATGCTGATGTCCAGGGTGCGCGCGAGATCCTGGTACCGCGGTACAAATGACTCGGAGTATCTGCTCGCCCGGCCAAAGTCGTCGTCCGAGGCAGCCCAGGACGTAAGATGGTACTCGGGCAGGACCACGAGGTCGCAGCCCTGGCCGGCGGCGGCGCGGATGTAGCTCTCTGCCGTTCTGAAGTTGCCGTCCACTTCCAAGGGCTTTTTATTTTTTATTTTTTGGAGAGAGGAGGGGGTCAGTTCGTATGATAAAACGTGTCACGGTCTTGTTACGGTTCCCGAGGAGGGGAGGGGGGAAGGGATCTGTTGGGCTTCTCTCCAATCTCTAATCTCTCCCGACTTACCTTGGAGCGGAACTGGGCTAAGCCGACTTTGAGCCTGGACATCCTGTTGTGATCACGGGGTAGAGACGATGAGATGAAGATGGTGATGATGATGACAAACTATCCAGTGTACGCTGCGGTGCTGACAAGCAAAGAGCTAATGGCTGTAGCTGATGTGGCTTACAGGGCAGCTCAGCACAATCTTCCCTCTCCGATCCTACACCAGGAAGACGTACGGGTAAGAGCCACACTTCTATCGACGCCACACACTAACCCTCAGACTTGGAAGCACTAAAAAGCACTAAGATAATCCCCTATAATAGCCGCGCTATCTTCATCTCCCCCCCCCCCCCCTGAGGCTACATGTACACAGTAACAGCGGTGATACCAATGATACTCGTAGTAGATGCTCCTCCTGGTTAGACTATCGCTATTTAGGTGGAAAGTACCTGGTTCGGCGGATATAAATAACCCCGAGCTATTTCGAAGCGGCTAAGAATATCCCATCGTCCTCGCATCCTCTAGTCTGATTCTCCATGGGTCTAATCGTGCTAGATAGCCTATACGAGCAATGCACGTATGCAATACAGCAGATTACCGCTTTCCTCTTTCCATCATCCTAAGAGTGCATCCCCCATGTCCGTATCCGGCCGACGCCAGACGGTAGACAACCAAGTTCCCACCTCTCGACGCCACCCGGACTGTGCACGTACACTTGACTCTCAATGGTTTCTACTACAGTCTCTGCCGGTATGGAATGGGTGGGGGGAGACTGTCTTGACGCTCTCCACCCCCGCCCCCGCGCCCCCCCGTTTATACGCAGCCGTGACGGGTGACGGCCCTCAGAAGTTGACGCCGAGGATGCGATGGTGATGGGGTTTTCCCGGCTAGGAAATGCCTCGGTGCGACGTCAAGACTCTGGGCGACAACGGCTTTCAGATTTGGGGAAGGGGGGGGGGGGGGGGACCGGCGTAGAGGTTCAGAGGGTATGGACATTGGACAGGAAAAGTTTCTCTGGCATGCCCGGGATCTGATTGACAGTGCGATGACAACGACGACGATCTTGGCCCCGATGCCTCGCCTGCTCATGGAGCCGAGTTGCCAAGAAAGTCCCGGGCCCCGAGGGTTGCATGGTTACATGGATGGGTGGTATACCTTGTATTCTATTACCGAGGCCGAACAGCACATACATTGATTGTCATGGCATGTACATCACATACGACAGCGATGATGGATCAGACGACGGTGCTTATACTGCTTTTGCCTGTATAGATTATGCTCGTACATGTACAGATTACATGTGCAGCGTGATGAATAGATGCACAGGTACGAGCTAGACGCACGGCGACTTGCCAGCAATCAACTCCCCGTACATCGTAATAACTCGAGACCTGGATCCCGGATGGACAGTGGGTCAAGGCAGCCTCGAGAGTCAGGGGAGCGGAGGGGACCCAAGACATGCTTCCCCATATATGATGTATCCCACAGGCCATTCTTGCTGCAGAGCCCCTTCCCCCAGTCTTCTTCTCTCTCCACCTGGCCGAGTACGGGAGACGAGGTGGGCGGGACAAGTCCGCTGAGTGACTCGAGAGCTCGTCGAGCGTGCGTGTCGTGCGGCCTTGTACTATCATATATCACCTCGTAGCAATGAGCGTCTGATACCAACATACCAAGCCGTTGACAAGACCGATGTGACCGTATCAACCCTGTCTCTAGCGCCAACCGAGAGATCAAAAGGGGACGAGGCCAAGAGTTGGAAGAAACCTCTCCAAGACGGTGGAGAGCGCAGAGAGGATTATAGATGGAGATTGAAATTAGAATAAACGGGACGAGAGAGCCCTGCATCTCTCCCTCTCTCTCTCTCTCCCTCTCTCTCGCAACCGCCGTTGGAAGGGTAAAGAGAATAAAAAACAAATTAAAATTAAAAACTAAAATAAAAGACACGCACATACACGGCAATAGAAGATGTGACAGCTACCGGTAATCAATTACGACTCATCAAGTCTAGACCCGGACCGATATTCAAGCGATCATGCAGGTAAGCAATGATCCCAGCTCCATCAGACTTGGCACAACCCAGCCCGTGAACCGAGAAGAGAGTGAGAGGAAGCGATGGATATCATGACTCCCATCCCAGCAGTAATACGATACATGAGATGTATTAATATGATGTGACGACCGGCAACTCCACAAGCCTTCCCACATCCGCTGTACGAGCACGCCGCACGCCATAACATGATCATCGCCGCTTCTCCTTACCAGTAATAGTAACTTGATGCATGTATTATTATTATCCCCCCCATATCTGTCCCCCTTCTCTCGTCCCCCCCCCTCTCTTCTCCCTCCCTCTCTCTCTCCCTCCCTCTCCCTCTCCCTCCCTCTCTCTCTCGTATTCCCGTACCTTTGGTTACATGCATGACAGCGAAGAAAAAGAAAAGAGGCTTCTTTGTATTTCGTTTAACTACCATCCCTCACCCCCCTTCCCCCCACCAGACCCTACCCTCCCCGTATTCCTGCGTCCTCCCTCCCTTTCGGCCATCATTCTTTGCTTCTCCAGATGTACCGCTGCCCACGATGCGACTACCTGACGGTCGGCAGAGGCCTAGGAACTTGCTACCTCTCTTGTACAGCTGAGCTCCCCCCCCTCCTCCTTCTCTCTCCCCTAATCCTGATCCTGGTCAAGACGGTTGATTGACGAGGTATGAAACCCATTAGCGGGTTGATTCTTGGCGCCCACCGTCTGTCGAGTCGCTTCTACACGAGCGCCGCCTTTGGTAAGGCTGATCCGACTCCTCTCCACATCCTCGGCAACGGGCTTCTCTCCCTGTCTCGGCTCGGGTCTTGTTCATATCTAACCTTGCCATCTTGGAACGTGATACGACGCAGAACGTCCCGTATACTTGACCATCACCGCACTCCTCATCACCAGCATCGCCCTCCGTCTCCGATCGGCGACACGCGACCGACGACAGGACTCCCTCGAGCCCCTGAGCCCGGCAGACGCCATCACAACCAGCAACGGCAGCAGCGGCAGCGGCGGCGGCAACCGTTGGCGTGATATTGTGCGACGAGCCAGGCCCCAATTCTACACCCTGGTGGCCTGCTTGGTTCTGCGCACTCTCCTCTTCGGACATGTGCTGTGGACGTCGCAGTGCTCGCGGCACGGCATCGAGGCCTTGCTCCCCGCCTGCGTCGTCGTCGTCTACTACGTCGCCCCCCACCAGACCGTACGTCTGCCGGGCGCGAAGCCCGGTCTCGACCATGTCACCCCCAAGGCCCGGGGCCCGCCCCCCTCCATCGTCGGCTACGTCGTCCTGGCCGCGGCCTGGGCAGTCTCCGTCGGGTCCGCGCTCGACGCGTCGACCATCCGCACCGGCACCGCGTGCCCTAGCGGATCCGTCCCGTGGCCGCCGACCCCCCTGCTCCAGCTGGCCATGTGCGCCCTCGACGCGACCGTCGTCGTCTACCTGTGGCGCGTCGTCCGCCTCGGGACGGCGCAGGGCTACGACGTCTCTCGCTTCCTGAGCACGACGTTTGCCACGGCCGCCGCCGCCACCGCTCTCGTCTCGTCCCTCCCCTTCATCAGGGAGCCGGAGATGCTGTACCTGCTCGGGGTCAACCTCGTCGAGGTGCGCCACGTGCTGCTGGACGCCTTCTTCGCCGCAGCCGTCATCCTGTGCGCCCTGGCGCTGTCCGGCATGGTGCAGCCGTGGACGTTGAGCTTCATCGCGTCGGGTCTGGGCCTCGTCGGCTCGCGCATCCCGGACCTGGGCCTGAACCCGCTGCCTCCGCCGTTGGACGCCGACGCGCTGACCAGGACGTCGTGGGCTCTGGCAGCGCTGTCGGGTGCGCTGGTGTTCAGCTCCAGGCCTCCCGACGACGCGCGGCGGGCATCCACCTCCGCATTCGTCCACGGCGGCCTCAGGGTTGCCTACCTGGGACTCGTGACCGTGTGCCTCGTAGCCGCGAAGCTGCGACCGCTGAACGCCGTCGAGACCACCCTCCCGGCCGCGGTCAACGGCCTGTTCCGGGACGCAGCGCACCACGCCGACCGGTGGATGGAGGACGCGTCCCGCAGCCAGAGCATGGCCGACGCCGTGGCCGAGTATCGCAGGCGCTACGGCGTGCTGCCCCCGCCCAACTTCGACAAGTGGTACGACTTCGCGCGCGCCCGCCGCTCGCCCGTCATCGACACCTTTGACCAGATCCACGTCGACCTGCTGCCCTTCTGGGCCGTCGACCCGGCCGAGATCCGCCGTAGCACCGCCCACCTCCTGCAGTACCCGGACCTCGACGTCGGCGGGCTGCGCATACGCAGGGGCGTCGTGGAGCAGTCGCCGCACGTCCCCGGGACTCACCGCTGGATGCTCGACGCCATGGAGAGCATGATCGCGCCCTTCGCCGAGCACCTGCCCGACATGGACGTCGTCTTCAACCTCGGCGACGAATGCCGCATGGCCATCCCCTTCGCCGACAAGCAGCGGCTCCTCGCCAGAGCGCAGGAGACGCGGGCCGCCATGGCGCAGGCGCAGGAGACGTCGTGGAGGGACAAGGGCAGGGCCGACTGGCCGACCGAGTGGCCCGCCGTACACGTGTCCAGCAGCGGCGGCAGCGGGCTCTCCCCCCACTTCACGGGAAACCTGCGGAGGCAGCTCTACTACGGGTGGATAGCCCCGACGTGCGCACCCGACGCGGCGGCGCACGCCACGCGCTGGTGGGACAGGGGCACGGCGTGCGTCCGGTGCCAGGCGCCGCACTCGGTACTCACGGATCAGGGGTTCGTGACGGGCCGCGACGACACGGTCGACGACCTCTGCCACCAGCCCGACCTGGCCTACCTGAGCGGCTTCGTCGCGGCCCCGACGTCGGCCACGACCAAGAGGCTGCTCCCCATCTTCAGCCAGTCCCGCGTCGGGGGCTTCTCCGATATCCTCTTCCCCTCTCCGTGGAACTACGTCGGTAAGTCGCCATACGACGAGTCGGACGACGTCGACTGGCCGCACAAGACCAACGCGCTGTTCTGGCGGGGGTCGAGCAGCGACGGCTTCACCTTCCACGGCTTGTGGACGGGATTCCAGCGGACGCGTCTGGTCAACGAGGGCAGCCAGCAGCCGCCGTCGCCGTCGTCGTCGGGTCTAGGGGTGAACGTCTCATTTTCCGGTGACATAATCAAGTGCCACGGGGGCGACTGCCGGGCCCAGCTCGACACCTTCCGTCGATGGGGCGAGACCATGCGGGGGTCCGAGGATGCTGCTGCTCCTGCTCAGGGTGACTCGTCACCCTTGCCTGAGCGTACACCGTTTGAGGACAGCTGGAACTACCGCCACCTGATCGACATGGACGGCGCCGGCTTCAGCGGGCGTCTGATCCCGTTCCTCCAGAGCAAGAGCCTCGTGTACCGCTCCGCGCTGTTCAAGTCGTGGTTCGACGAGCGCCTCTTCTCCTGGCACCACTACGTGCCCGTCGACGTGCGACTCGGCCGTGGCTTCTGGTCTCTGGTGCGCTACCTGGCCAGCCGCGGCGACGTCCAGACCATGGGCAGCACGGTGAGCCAAGACGCCGGCCAGACGGGCGACGATATAGCCCAGTCCATTGCGAGGCGGGGGAGGGCCTGGGCCCACAAGGCGCTCAGACCGGATGACATGCAGGTGTACATGTTTCGTCTGCTGCTGGAATGGGGACGCATTGTAGACGATGACAGGGAACAGCTTGGTTACGGAAGCCCGGGTCCATGATGTGTCCGACTGCTGTTCAGAGAGATGAGTACGTGTGTATATGTACGAGTGCTACATGTACGTGTAGGTATTCAAGGGGAGGAGAGGAAAGAGGAAAAGGGGGGGGGGGGGGGGGGCGGGGTACAAGAGTAATGATATCACCAGTAATTAAACGAATTGGTACATATATGATATGAGAGAGATTAAAGAAAAAGGACAACTCCAAAAATAGGAAATAATAAAAGAAAAAAAAAGAAAAATTGTAGAAAAAAAAAAGGACGAAAGAAAGAAGAGAAGAAAAAAGAAAAAAAAGCTTAATATCGCGTGATGAGATCCCTGCTGTCATCGTTTTGGAAAAGACAAGGGCAACGCCAGGATTTTCTAGTCTTTACTCTCAGATTTCCCTCGATTCCAATTGGCTCGGACTGGACTTCGCCTCCCTCAGCCGACACTTACATGTATGTGAACTAAACTCATACAGATACTTCCGACGATCCATGAGACACCTACTTTCCCTCCTAGCAGGAAAAAAAAAATGAGACGAAAATGACACGGACGCTCTCTACACCTTCTTTTCTTCTTCCAAGATGAGGGAGGACAGAGAGACGTGGGTCTGCGTCGTATACAGATGATGAAACTTGGCATGAAGAAATCGTACGATGAGGCTTGCCAGCGGGGTTCCACGGAGATGATGGATGATGGCGGTTGAGTTGCACACAGACACACACATGCGAGGGAAAGGTTGTCGTTGTTGTTTTTTTTTACCTCCTTTCTCTGTGTCTCTTTTTTTTTTTCCTTTTTTCTTTTTTTGCCTCTTGTACCCTATGATTACTATGTGCTGACCGGTTAATACACAGCCGGGTTAGTAGGAGGGATAGTAACGGCACAGGATGGGGAATGTTCGGAGGTGTTTTGGTGATGTTACGAATAGCAGACATCGTAGTACTATATATACTGGGTATCCTTTCCTCGTCTGTTCTCAATGGCGTTCCTAGAGGAAGAAGAAGTTTGATAAGTTTGAACGACAGGAAGATCTATATCTATATCTATAGATATATATCTATATATATATATATCTATATATATATATACACATACATATATTCTAAACATATATGTATGCATACAAGGTATCATCAGATATATTACCCCATAGAGCCTAACATGTCTCTCACACAACAAGAGTTGGCTCTTATCAGCGCCTCGGTACCGATCCTCCGGGACCAAGGTGAGACCATCACACGTACCTTTTACAAGTCCCTCCTAGACTCCAAGCCCGACCTACACAACTTCTTCAACTCGGCCAACCAGGCCAATGGCCGTCAACCGCGGGCCCTGCTGTGCATCATGCTGGAGTTCGCCCAGGCGCCCAGCCACCTGTCAGACCTGACGCCGCGCCTGGAGCGCATATGCAACAAGCACTGCTCTCTGGGCGTCGAGCCAAGCCAGTACCCCCTCGTGGGCAAGTACCTCCTCAGCGCCTTCGCCTCCATCCTCGGCAGCGCCTGGACCCCGGAGATCGAGGGGGCCTGGGCAAAGGCCTACGGGCTGCTGTCCAACATGTTCATCGGCAGGGAGGCCCAGCTGTACCGCGAGTTTGGCAGCTGGAAGGGCTTCCCCTTCATGCGCATCGTGCGCAAGGTGACCGAGGGCGACGACGCCGTCTGCTCCTTCTACCTGGAGCGGCTGGACGGCGAGCCCCTGCCGACCTTCGTGCCGGGCCAGTACGTGTCGGTGCGCGTCGAGGTCCCGTCGATCGGGTACCTCCAGGCGAGGCAGTACTCGCTGTCCGACGCCCCGGGCGCCAAGTACTACCGCATCACGGTGCGGCGCAACCAGGGCCTCCTCCGGGACTCGGGGTGCCCGGTCAAGTCGCCGCCGGGCCTCGTGTCCAACGTCCTCCTCGACCGCTTCGAAGTGGGCAGCCTCGTGGGCGTCTCCCACCCGGCCGGCGGCTTTGGCTTCGACCCCAGCCCGTACAACGCCTCGCCCCTCGTCCTCGTCTCTGCCGGTTCCGGCGTCACCCCGCTCATGTCCATCTTCAACTCGGTTATGAGCGGCCTGGGCGGCAGCAGACGGCCGGTCAGCTGGGTCCACTTCGACGCCGCCACCTCTGCCAAGCTCCCCTTTGAGGACGAGATCAAGGCCGTTGCCAGCGTCAGGCACACCGTCCAGGCCAAGTTCCTCCGCGGCTGCGCCTTTGCCGAGGAGGAGGACCAGAGGGAGTGGAAGATTCGCGCCGAGAGTCTGCGTGTGGAGCTGGGAAAACTGGATCCTGACCTGATGCACTTCGACAAGAGCGGGGCGGAGTATTACCTGTGTGGTCCGACGAGGTTCGTCCGCCACGTCAGCGCCTTTCTCAGGGACACCGGCGTGATGGAAGACAGGATACGCACAGAATGGTTCGCTACTGGGAGTCTGAATATGACCGCCTAGAGAGACAGTCACGGGGTGATCTCAATCTTGTATATATTAAGCACGCCTATGGATGTTGGAGTATGAGGAAAAAAGAAAGAAAAGAAAAGCTCGAATTTTGCACGATGTGGCAACCCAAGATTGTACGGCTGGGCAGCCAGAGGCTGCTGCCACAGTCACATCTGCAGATATGTAGATAAACTTCATATATAGATCCTCTCTCCTCGCAATCAATCAATCAATCAAGCGCCGAGACGCACATGATCGACCCGGGACGTATCAGCAGGCAGACACCACTGTATTCACGTCTGCAGGACATCGTGTGTTGTCGCCAGCAGGAAGCACGATGAGAGGCATCTAGGGTAGAAGCCGTCGGTGATGTCACCTGCTGTACCTGGCACGTGGCAGATGAGCATGACGAATAGCGAAGAGAAAGGAAAGGAAAAGGAGGAGTTTAGCTAGAGAGAAGATATCAATCGATGCTATTCCTTTGCCTGTTGTATTTCAGAAAAACAGGATATGCACCATCAACTCTGACGGGCTGATGCTGCTATGCAGGGCCTGTGTGAAATGTGATATTTGTTTACATGTGCACAGGTCCCACGGGGTGGGAAGCCGCAATCTGCCCACCTTGAACCTCCCTTGATCTCAGACCACCGCCATCTCATCTCTGAGCCACCACCAACGTCATCGTTATCGGACTGGAAATATACAATATCGCAGAGCCCATCCTCCTCTGCATGCACATCCGCCTCTTGAGTGGCTCTTCAGGTCCGAGCTGAGCTGATCCACGCCCGGAAGAGCTCGGCAAACATGAGCCTCGACCTCAGGCACATTCCCTGCCCAGCTGGCGACACCTGCACTGCCTTCCAGTGCATCTTTGGCCATGCGAAGGACAAGGCGCCCGACGTCCCAAAACCGGCTGAACCAAAGAGACCAGAGGCACCGCAGTTCAAGGCAAACACTATAGCCGCAGCCGGTCAGGCGGCAGCGGCAGTGACATCAGCTGACCCCCAAGGACCCCCAAGGAAGCGGACCAAGGTTGAACACAGCGATGCCGTGCCTCCTGTCCCGCGACCATCTCTGGCAAAGACCAAGACGCCATCATCATCTTCATCTTCACTGCCACGACCGGCATCACCGCCGCGGTCCCGTAAAGACATCACGGCAGCATCGAATGCCAAAAGGCCTACTGCTGCCAAGGTGGTCAAGGCCGAGTCTCTCAACCCACGACTGATCAAAAGCTCCCCCGCCAGCCACGAGATCCGTCTCAAGCTCGTGCGCATGCTTCACGCCGAGTACACACGACTGAACCGCGAGGTGGCAAATCAGAGCAAGGCAGCAGGAGGTGATGGTGATGCGGACAAGAAGCTGGTGCTGTCGGACCAGGAGCTCATCACCATGACGCTAGACGACGAGACGGCCATCGCCGTGGGCAAGTCAGCCGTGTACACGAACGTGATGAAGAACCGCGTTATGCAGTACAAGAGGATGAATGCCACGCAGTGGAGGGAGGAACGGAAGAAGAAGATGATGAAGGAGGCGGGACTGACCCCGTCGACGGTGGAAAAGACCATCGAGACGGGGCTCACGCCTGCCCAAGAAGTCGAGGTCCTACGAAACATCATCACCCCGATCGACAGACTGTCCAACCACGGCTACGTGCCCGTCGTGCCGTCGGACGAGGCCGTCAAGTCGGCCCGCGACGGCAAGGAAGCCGGCCACGGCTGGGAAAAGTGCGACCGGTGCCAGCAGCGGTTCCAGGTATTCCCCGGCAGGCGCGAGGAGGACGGAGCCCTGACGTCCGGGGGCGAGTGCCACTTCCACTGGGGCAAGGCGTACCTGCCCGGGAGGTCGAGCGAGGGCAAGGCGTCGCGACCGTCGAGCAAGCGGTTCGTCTGCTGCGGCGAGGCCGTGGGCGAATCGACGGGGTGCTGCACGGGGAGCCACCACGTGTACAAGGCCAGCGACGGCAAGACGCTCGCCACGGTGCTCAACTTTGCACCGACGCCGGAGAACGAGGCGGTACCCGACGACAGGGCCGTCTGCTTCGACTGCGAGATGTGCTACACCGTGCACGGCATGGAGCTGGTACGCCTCACGGCCGTGTCGTGGCCGGGCGGCAAGCCCCTCCTCGATGTGCTCGTCCAGCCCCTCGGGGAGATACTCGACCTCAACAGCCGGTACTCGGGCGTGTGGCCGGACGACATGGCCCGGGCCAAGCCGCTCAGCGTAGCCGAGGTGGCCGCTGCGGAACCCAAGGCAGCGAGGGCGGTGCTCGCCGGAGAGGACGGCGGCGGCATACGCATCGTCTCGTCCCCCGAAGTGGCCCGCCACCTACTCTTCTCCCTGATCAGACCCTCCACGCCCCTGATGGGTCACGGGCTCGAGAACGACCTCAACGCCGTGCGCATAGTCCATCCCACCGTCGTCGACACCGTCCTCCTGTACCCGCACAAGGCTGGCCTGCCCTTCCGCCACGGGCTCAAGATGCTGATGGACCATCACCTCAACAAGAAGATCCAGCAGGACCAGGGTCCCGACTCGAGGGGCCACGACTCAGCCGAGGATGCCAGGGCTGCCGGGGACCTCATCAGGCTCCGGGTTGCCGAGGAGTGGGGGCGCATGAGGAGGGCTGGGTGGAAGGCTGACGGAGAGAAGCTTGCGCCTCCGCTGCTCTAGTAGTAGGCCGGTGGTGAGGGCGGAAGCGCGAACTCGCCGAGGACATGGGCACATACACGAACGGTGCCTTCCTGCAAAACGTTTGGTTTGGTCCCAGAGGTTCTCATCATGATATGATATAGCATGGTCACCAACGTGGGGACGGAGCGGCGGTCTGAGCCAAGATGGAAGAAGAGAAAACGAGGTACAAGGCCAGAGGAAAAAAAATAATATATTGGCGATCTTCTTTTTATTGCGTGCGTGTGATTTTGTTTGATTACATGGGACCGAAGGTCATCTAAAAATACAGCTTGACATCCTTTTTTTCTCTACATGGGAGGATAACACACATCCCATCAGTGGGATGAGTTGGGGGGAGTCGGTTCCTGTCACTTCTTTCGCCTCTCCCTCCATCTCCTCGGGTCGAAAGGCTTGAAGGGCTTTGAAGGGCTTAGGCACGACCGACAGATAGGAGGTACTGCCCGCCCTTTCCGTTGCCTCCGGAGGGGAGGTAGGCGACGTTGGGATTCGAGGCCAGAGTCTGGGCGATCTCGCGGCTGGCCTCGATCTTTCGGATCTGGATGAGGCCGTCGCCCGACTTGGCGACGGCCTTGGAGATGGTGTCTGCGCTCTCGGCCTCGCCCTCGGCGCGGATGACGTTTGCCTGGCGCTCCTGCTCGGCCTTCTCGACGATGAAGCGGGCACGCTCGGCGTCCTGCTGGGCAATCTGCTTCTGCTCGACGGCCTTGGTGAACTCGCGGCCAAAGGTCATGTGGGTGATGGACACGTCCTCGAGGGCGATGTTGAACTCGGCAGCGCGAAGGGTCAGATCGTTCCGGATGCGCTGAGAGACGGCCTCGCGCTGGGTGATGAGCTCGGCGGCGTCGAACTGGGCCACGATGGCCTTGAGGACTTCGTTTCCGATAGAGGGGAGGACACGCTCGTCGTAGTCGGGTCCGAGGTTCTTTTTTTATTTTAATTTTAATTTTTAGAGAATGGTTAGTTGGACATGTTCTCTCTCTCTCTTTTTTTTTTCTTTAAATTTCTTCTTCTTCACTCTCCTTCTCTCTTTCATAAAGAGAATTATGAATGCAAGTTGATGGAGATGTGTGTGTGTGAGAGAGAGAGAGGAGAGAGAGAGAGGGGTAAATACCTGGTAAATCTTGGGAAGCTCCTTGACATTAGGACGGTGAAGAACCCTCAAGGTCAGGCTGACCATCTGGAGATCCTTGCTGCCCGTAGTCGTAGAGATGCTTCTCGGCTTGGTGCGAACGTCAAAGATGATGCTCCTCTGCAGCCAGGGGATGAGGAAGTGAGTCCCCTCGTTGACGACCGTGTCCTTGACTCCGGAGAGGCGGTCGAAGATGACGGCGCGCGTCCCGCCCTTGACGTCGAAGATGGACTGGCTAGCCAGGAAGGCTCCGGCCGTCGCGGGCACCGCCATGCGGTACACCAGGTTGAGTGCCCTCGCTACTCCGGCCATCCTGTCTTTTGTCGTTGGTCGGGAACTGGACTGGGGAGGCAATCTCGGTTCGGGTTCGAATCGGTTCGTTTATATCCGTTCACTTATCGGGAGCCGGTCGATGGACGGATGGATGGATAGACGAACCGAGCACAGTGGAAAAGGGGGGAGGTCGGCGGAGGTCGGCAGATGTCGACGGAGTTGATGGGAGCAAGAGGTCAGTTTTCTCACCTGGAAGCGGAGCTCTCTGCTGATGAGGTAACGAGAGTAATAATCCCGTCGTTCGGGCGATTGCTGGCTCTTGTCGGGGTAAATTCGGGTAATCAGGTCTTTTACGTGTACGGGTACGAGTCGACATCTACACCAGTGATGTTGTCGAAGGGAAACTTTCCATGACGTTTTGGTAAACTTTTCAAGACGGTTGATGGTGTCGTAGGATTACAAAATAATTCTTTCCTTATCATGTGGATAGCCATTGATGGAAGAGGGCTCCGGTCAATCTCAGGAATTAGGATCCTTGGGCGGCGCTCCTTCAGAATCACCATCAGACATCGTAGCATCTACTCTGCATATTATCAAGTACGAGCAGATGACGATGACGGAGACTGGCGGCACCGCCCTATCGTTCCATCAGAGCTATATAGTATGTAGGATCAAGAAGACTGAATCCTGTCCTGATCTAGGTTGCTATTCCGAAGCTGCCGGTGGTGAACAACACGCAGCTATATCGAGTCATCAGCGCCAGTAGCCATAGGAGCGGAGCACCAGCATCGACGATTGAGCAATTAAATAAAAAGACATCCCAATCAGCATCTCAATAACGGAAAAGTATCGTCGGTGCGATGTAGTCTTATGAGAGGGGTAGGAGAGAATCCGTAAATAAAATGCATGTTTCTTCAGTCGTCGAACGGCCCCGAGGATGTGGAAAAAAAAAACCATGTCCAGAAGTGCTAATATAAAACCCGCAATTGGCTACAAGCCGCTCATTTCTTCGACCCGCACGTGACCGCGAATTTGTGACAACAAGCCTCTGGTCCCGACCTTGGCCGAATTCCCTAGGAAACCTCTCTACTTGTACGAGCACGCATCCCGGGCCTCAGACTACGACGTTCAATCACCACCCTCCCCTTTTCTATTGCTATTACGCAGCTCCTCGACGTCGGTCGAACAATACATCAGCAATCATGCAGCCTACGCAGATTCGTCTCGGTGGTGGCCATGCCGACCCCAAGACTGGCCAGTGAGTTTGCGACCCAAATCCCAACAACACCCTTCACCCCCCCCCCTTTGCCGTGATGCGGGTTTTCAGCGGCCGGGTTCTATTGAACTCGAGGAGGGCCAGTTTTGGCTGACGTGAATGACCATCTTAGCTTCATCGGTGGCTGGGGCTCTCTCGGTGAGTTACCATCATCTTCTCGATCTCGGACATGACAATCGACTTTTTTCTCTTCGCCTTCGCAGCTGTGGAGGGGGCGGAACAGCATCGACCAGACCCTCTCCCCCCCCTCCCCCCCCTCCTTCTCAGACCGAAAGACGATGATTGGGAAAACACGACAGAATGGAATGACTGACAGTACCATTGCAGGTGGCATGAACAAGCAGAAGGGTATCGTCCACTGGGGTCTCTCTCCCAACCGTCAGAACCCCTTTGCCGGTGCCGTCCACGACGCCATCTTCAACACTTTCCGCCGCACCAAGTCCCAGATCTTCTACTGGCTGCCCACCATGCTCACGGGATACTACATCATGAACTGGGCCACCGACTAGTATGTCTTTCTGTTTATTGTTTCTTTCCTCCCCGCAGCCACTCCGTGCGAGAATCCCGACCCACGCTGACCCGCGGCCGACAGCAACCACTTCCTCCAGTCCAAGGAGGGCCGCGCCCTGCACGCCGACGATGAGGAATAAGCGGGATAATACTGGCAGACTTTCTGCTTGGAGGGAGGAAGAACTACGACCTGTTCGAGACTACTGTGTAAAACTAAAACTGAGCACCTTACTAGACCTGGGCAGCTGCATACTGCGCCTGCCTAATTGATTTTTCTTCTTGGAGAAAACTGAATCAACCAAATTCTTTTTTGAACGCGTAGATATTCTCCAGGCGATGTGAACTGAGCGTTTGGTTCTACGGCTTCCAATCGCTTCCCAAGTCGGGAGAAGAAAGAGAAAACACCACGTTCGGAAGTGACGGTTGATATGCGCTCCCAAACCACTGCAATGCGTAGCTAGTTGGAATAACTGCAAACGGACTGTTGCTCGAAACCTAATTGAACAGTCACTGAGGTCTTGAGAATCGAATTCCTACGTAGACAGATGATAATCAACAGATGCTGCTACCTGCTCATCTTGTCGGCGATGGCACGGTACGAATACTCGTAGAGGGGGGAAAAAAAAAGGCGCGGAGATCACGTGACTCACTACCAGCGGGACCGGGGAATGGATCATGAAATTTTCGGCTGCCGCTGAGAAGCGCAAGGCTAAAAAAAAAAAAAAGTTGTCGGAAAACCTGTGTTTTGACGAAATCGACAACCTAAACAAACATCAATTTCAACAAACCAATTCGCACCAAGGATCTCTCCCCACCAAACGAGACTCCTTTTCTTTCTATCTTGAGGGGGGAAAACTGAACGCTCGATAACAAAGACAGAAACACACAAGCAAAATATCCAAAAAAAAAAAAAAAAAAAAAAAGGACATCGACGACCGATAGACCGCAAAAATGGCCGCCGAGAAGCCCGAGAAGAAGGAGAAGAAGGACAAGAAGCGCAGCGACGAGTCGGGAATAGGAAAGGCCAAGAAGGACAAGAAGGATAAGAAGGACAAGAAGGACAAGCTCGCTGCCGCGGCGGATGCCCAGATACAGCAGGACGCCGCCGCCGCCGCCGCCAAGTCGGACAAGAAGGCCTCCTCCAAGAAGGAGGAGACAGTCGACGACGACTCCGAGGTCGACTCGCCCAGCGACGATAAGCTGAGTGGTGTCCCCATCGAGAGGACCGTCGTCCCCTTTGCCGTGCCTCTGGCCGATGACAAGGGTACCAAGAAGATTCACAAGACGATTCGCAAGGGTAAGGTTCTCTCTTTCTTTCCTTTTTTCACCTCTCTCTCTCTCTCTCCCTCCCACACAAACACACAAACACGCACACACACAGAGGGACTACGTAGACTGACATTTCTACTTCTCGGTACCTTTTTTTCAACACAGCCGCCAAGAGCAACACCCTGAAGCGCGGTGTCAAGGAGGTGGTCAAGACCCTACGCAAGTCGGCCGCCGCCTCCCCCGGCAACACGTCGTTCCCCGGCGTCGTCATCATCGCCGGCGACATCTCCCCTCTGGACGTCATCTCTCACATCCCCGTCCTGTGCGAGGACCACAACGTGCCCTTCATCTTCGTCAGCTCCCGCGCCGAGCTGGGCGCCGCCGCCAAGACCAAGCGTCCCACCAGCGTCGTCATGATCATGGAGAAGCCCGAGGGTAAGAAGGCCGGAGCCGCCGCCGCCGACGTCGACGAGGACTTTGCCGAGTCCTACTCTTCCCTCGTCAAGTACGTATCCAAGGAGCTGGGCAAGCAGGCCTTCTGGACCAAGGGAGAGTCGGCATAAAGCAGGGGTAGAGGGGGAGGAGAGGGCAAAGACAGAGACAAAAACACAACAAAAAAACACCATGAAAGAAAAAAGAGGTCATTGTCTAGACAAAAACAAAACAAAACAACACAACACACGAACAAGAAACAGGAGGGAGAAGTTTTGCATGGATGTGTGTGGTAACCTCTTTTTTTTTTTTTGTTAGACATATAGTATGATGTTGCGGTGGCGGCGTTTTTGGTTTTCCTTTTTGTTTGTTTGTTCCAATCTGATTGATAACTTCTCGGCAATGGAATTGAATTGGAATCAGGAGAAAAAAAACATGTTTTGGCAACGGCCACGAGTTGAAATGCACCGTGACTTGGACCGTTGGAAGCTGACAACATCACAAGAGGGAACTACATCAGCAGAGCTTCTGCCTCTGTGACAAAGAGAAACAAAGAGTTATCGGATGAGGAGAGATATCACACAAAAGACGAGGGAAAAAAAGATGGTTTCTTCTTCTTCAACTACTTCTGTTCTCGACTATTCTGTACAAGGTACACGATTCAATTCGACAGAGCAAATGGGCAGGGCAGCTCAGCCGGATCCCCCCTCTAGTTGAAGGGGTTGGTCCTGGTCCCCCACCACGTCAGGAAGACGGACAGGCCCACCGTCTCGAACAGCTTGGCGGCGACGTTGACGCCGACGGTGTCGAGCGGCCTCCTCTCGGACACGAGCTGGACGAGGACGCTGGGGGCCGAGGTGGCGGCGAAGATGAGGGCGCCCAGGTAGGCGGCCCCCTTGTAGCTCAGGGTACCCGTGGCGTTGATGAGGGCGCCGACGCCGTACGTCTTGATGCCGGATCCGACAAAGGTGGTGCCCCAGGCGACGGCGGCCGACGTGGCCTCCTTGGACTTGAGGAACTCCTCGCTCGTGTCGGCCTTCTTGGCGCGCTGATACGTCTGGCCGAAGAGGGGACCCAGCACGGCCAGCTCGACACCGTGGTTGAAGATGGTGCCGAGGGCAATGGCCGAGGGCTTGACGGCGGGGAGGTCTGCGATTGAGAGAAGTCGATCAGCATCCGAGACGATCCTATCGACTGAGAGAAGTCTTTCTTCTCGTTCAAACTCGTGAGAGAGAGAGAGAGAGGGGGGGCGAAGGGGGGGAGAGACGGAGATGCTTACACTGAAGGCTCATGATGTTTTGGGGGTGATATCCTGATAGTTGGATGGGGCGGATTGGATGGATGGATGGATTGATGGAGGGATGGATGATGGATGATGGATGAAAGAGAGAGAGAAGGAGACAAGAGAGAGACGGAAAGATAAAAGGAACCATCCAACTCGGACAAACCTATTTGTACCTGGCCATTCAGTCTATTACGCAACTCCCCCATTAGTTCCAGACCTCTGCCCTTCGTGTCCCCGATTCCCCAATCGAGCTCCCATTCTCCTCATCAGCCGTCGAGATGATGTCACCGTTTTCTCCCCTTCCCCTACCATCCTGGTGTCTCTGACGTTGACGAATCCGGAGCCAGCAACTGAACCGAACAAGGGAACATTTGAACTTTGCAATACTCTCTTCCCTCTCTCTCTCTCTCTCTCTCTCCCTCCCTCTCCCACTCCCACTCTCACTCTCTGTCTCCCTCCCCCTCCCTCTACCACACGCATACACTGTCACACTGTCTCTACCTTTCTCTCCCCCTCTCTCTCCAATTCATCATGCCATAACTCGGTGAATACATGTACTCTCTGATGCCAAGGCAGCTTAGTACGTCCAGAAAGCTTGTTAGTAATCCTCGCCTCCAAAAGACTTTGCCCAGTACTTTTCTCTCTCCACCCCAATAAGACGCCAGTGGAACGTAAATGTCCCCCCCCCCCACTGGACACGGGATCTTGTGATTTCCCACCTCAGCTCTAGTGTATTATCTATCACACAAGTACGAGAGCACGGAGAGGTGGTAGATGAATGCTTGATCATCGGCTCTGCTGAAAAACAAGAAGAAAACGCCGTTCCCTGTTCCTTCCAGCTGTTTCCATAGCTTCTGACAAAGCCGACCGGACGAGCGGCACTGGTTTCGGCTTAGGCTTGTTCGATTGATGTTATGGTACAGCGCTTCCGAGACCGCACGCAGCTTAACAGGTACGCAGGCTCCCCGAGACATTGCACGCACCTCACAGGTCAGGCAGTCTGAGGAATGTTGCGAATCATACAAAACTTTGATCTCATCCATGTGAACCATCATCGTACTCTCCCTTCCCTTGTCTTACCCTGCAAGCCGTCCTCGGGCCCCTCTCAGACCTCATCCTTGGCATAGAAATCGTATGCTCCGGGTATGGGTGTGCGAAGCCATCACACGCCGAACCGATAGACAGAGGGAGGATATTGCGGATCGGCGACCGGAGCCGTGGCCGTCATTGTGAGATTCTGGATGTGAATGTGTTTACGCCTGTGTATGGGTGAGTGGGCGGGGAAGGGGGATGGAATAGAGAGCAAGAGGATGAGAGAGAGAGAGAGAGAGAGACGGAGACGGAGACGGAGACGGAGACGGAGACACACACAGAGAGAGAAGAGAGAGAGAGATGGAAGATACTGCACCAAACAAGTGTATAAAAATTCCCATGCTTTTTGTTTTCTTTTCCCTACATTTACACATGACAGGCAGACATTAAAAATAGAAGCCGTGTTTTATCGAACCCCAGTTTATCAACCCAGTGAAGACAGCCCTACACACACATACACACACACATACACAAACACAGACACGAATTGAACCAGCCCAACCGAGGCAGCGTAGCAGCCATCTCTATGCAGACGCAGCCGTATGTCCGTCTTCTCCTCCACGCAGAGCCAGGAGCGACCTCACGTCGTGAACGTACTGCAGTCCTTCAAGAAAGGGGATGAGATGCATCAAGTCGCTGTCTGTCGGGTCATTGATCCATCCTTGGATGGGGATGGAGTTGTCTGGGAGTCAAGCGTCAGCGAGGTCAGCGAGAGAGAGGAAGGGGAGAGAGAGAGGTGGGCGGTAGCACATCGGAGAACGTACCTTCGTGAAACATGTAGCTCAGCGGACTATTGTCGAGTATCATGACGCTGCTCAGGTCAGGCTCGACGGCGCTCAGGTCTTTGATGTAGGCCCCCTGACGGTAGGTGCAGTGCTGTCGGTAGTATCGTGCCGAGAAGAACTTCTTCTCCGACTCGAGCCAGTCGATGACCGGGTCGGCGTACTCCTGGACCGAGGCGGTAAAGATGACGAGGTTGAACCACTTGACGACGCGACGCAGGAACTCGTCGCAAAAGGGCCTCTTGTTGACCCAGTACAGAATGGGGTGCTGTCCGACCGGCTGACTTCCGCCGCCGCCGCCGCCGCCGCCGTTGCCGCCGCCGCCACCCATCCCCAGCGAGGCGGCGTTGAGGCGAACCTCGACCATGTGGCCGGTGCTCATCCGGCCGCCCTTGGACATGCTGTGGATCAGCGTCTCGTCGAGGTCGAGGATCAGCGTCTTGGTGGGCTTCCGCGAGGGCTCGATGTTGAGGTACGAGGGCTGGCGGCGGGGAATCAAGGGGCGGGGAGGGGCAGGTGCGCGGGGGTACTTTGTCAGGGCGGCGATGGGCGACGTGGGTGACTTGAGGTGGGCGGAGAGCTCCTCGCCGCCGAGCTCGCTGGCCCGGGTGCGGGCGACGGCCGACTGGGTCTTGCGGTGCCTGCGTCTCTCGAGGCCTTCGTCGTGGTTGAGCTTGATACGTATCGACTTGCGTGAGGGGCCGAGGTCGTCGGCCGTGTTGGCCGACTTGGATCGAGTATGATGCTGCCTCGCCGGCAATAACGACGGGGACGGCACGGGCCTGGCGTCTTCGGACTCGGACGAGTCGGACGCGACGGCGACGCATGAGCGCCTCGACGGCGGACGGTCCGCATGCGGGGAACGATGCGAGGCGTGGACGGGGTCGAGGTCGGACGAGGTATAGGGTTCAGGGTCGACGGCAAGCTTGTCCTTGGGAGGTCTGCGGAAGCCAAACAGGACCTTGATCTGCGCCCAGGGAGAGAAGAGGCCCTGATCGTCGTAGAAGCAGGCAATGAGATAGACGCCGGGGGATGCGAGGGTGGCAAAGACCCAGCGGATGGAGCCGATGATGCTGGATGTCAGACTTCTCGGTACCGAGTGCCACCAGCTGGAGCGTTTCCCGGACGAGGGCTTCTTCTCGCTGAGCAGAGGGGTGTCCTCGGAGACGCCATCGTAGTCATGACGGTCATGTTGTTGTTGTTGTTGATGATGTTGCTGTCTGTATGGTGAGTCGTCAATGGCGGTCCGGTGAGGGATGCTGGCATCCATGGTGTCGGCGTGCTCGTAGGACGACGACTCCTTCTCGCCGGCGGGCTCGGGAGCGGCGTCGGCCTCGTCGTCAGTGTGGGCGAGAAGGCTAGCAGGATCGAGGTTGAGGCTGTTGGATCTCGACTTTGTGGGCGTCGAGGGCGGCGATACGCGACTGATGATGTTGAGGGAGTTCATGGTCAGGAGAGGCCACAAGCCATGGGCATTGGGCGGCAGAAGAGTCCCGTGCCAGTAACAGGGACAGCCAGTCGCATCCGACGGCAGCCAAAAGGGATGGTATCACGCGCGACGTCGGGGAGGGTGGCCGACGCAGGGGAGGAAAGATGCTGTTCGATGAGAACTCTCGAGGAGAGAGTACTATGATAGTCTGGGCGAAGGTATTAGGTTGGATGAAATGTCGTGTTCGGGTGGCGTCGTCGTGGCAGGTGGTTGAGACGGGATGAAAACGAGCGTCAGGGAGGCAGTTAGAGTATTATAGTGACGTGTCACAGGTGAGGAAGAGGTAATATCAGAGAGAGAGAGAGAGAGAGAGAGAGAGAGAGCGTGCGTGTGTGTATGTGTGCGTGTGCGTGTGTGCGTGCGCGATGATGGAGGTCGTCGAAGGGATAGATAGAGAAGGAGAGGGAGGGATGGTCGTAGGAATCGTAGGTGTTTTCCGTCGCGATAAAGGAGAGGTGTCGACGAGAGGGAGAGGCAGTATAGGTCGGCAACCAGAGTCGCTCAAATGTTTGATGCGATCGCCATGCGGAAGTTGTCGAGAAAAGAGAGGGAGAGAAGAAGAAAGTCGAAGAGGAAGAAGGAGGGGGGTTTGCGTAGTGGTCTACGGGTGGGGGAAGGTGCACCAGTGCGACTTTTTTTCCCTATTGCCTCGGTGGTGGTGGTGGTGGTGGTGGTGTGTTTGAGTTGGTATGGATGATTGAGGGTGGATCGCGATTGACAGGGATGGATGGTCCTGGAGTGGTCTTGGACGGTCGGCCTCGGCGGAAGGTGTTGGAGGCGTCGAGCGGATGGTAGCGAGGAGTATCCGTAATCTGTACAGATCTGTAGATGCTGCTGGTGTTCTGTGCGGGAAGGAGTACGGTGATGGGTACGCTGCTAGTAGAGTGCAGATGCTGCTGCTCTGTATGAGCAGGTGGTATCGTGTACGGGGAGTACCGAGTAGAAATACAGGGAGAGGGAGTGGTAGGAAAGAGGTGAGCGGTACGAGATATTAATTGGTGGTGGAGATGACATGAGCAAGGGTTGACTCTCGAGAGGGATGAAAGGGCCTGGGAGCAAGGGAGCAGGGAGCAGGGAGCAGCAAATCAAAAGCAATAGGGGAGACGACGACCTGGGGCCAAAAGGAGCAGGGAGTTATTAGTTCCGGTGGTATTGTTAGTATTCATACTCAGTATGGATACTCCGTCTCAGCATTGCAGTATCGATACTCCCGTCGTACTCACTCGCAGTAGCAGTTCTCAGGCGGCACTAGTAAGTATAGTGTGATGCCACGACGGAATACCACTACGGAATACCACGACGGAATAGCACTCTTGTACCGTCGACTACTGCCATGATATATGTAGCAGCAATCCCTCACGCTCCGTAACAACAGCTGGCATACGCCACTACATGCGCATGTCGCATGCACATGTAGAGAAGGCGAAGGAGAGAGTGAGAGGTGAGAAGATACCAAGGCACGAGAACCCTCTTTCGTATGACGGTTTCACGTGTCGACCGTCAGGCTTCCCGATGGCTGACCAGGACCAGGAGTCGAGCGAGGCAGGCCATTGGCCGTGACGGTGTTCCGGGGGGCCGACTCGGCCTGTCATAGGCTGCTGCAGTGCATATTCCACTGTGGCCTGTTCCACTGTAACTTTCCGTCGAATAGGTCAGGTCGCGGTTTTCAGTACTGTAGGTACACATGTACGTACCGGGTCTGCTGTACAGGGTACAGGCAGCGATGTAGGTGACCTCTGGGCATCCACCGGGCCGCTGCTTGTCTGATGCTCTCTAGCGTCCTCTCCAGGCTGCCTGCATCCAGGGCTGCACATGTCCTGCACGGCTGCTGCGACTCGCTGCAAAACGCAACGGGGGGGGGGCCTCTGGAGAGCTCCAGCGGAAGGTGGAGCTTATCATGACTCCGTGTCCGCTTGTATACGGAAGGATTACGTTGATCGTACGGATAGTTTTATCGGCAATACGGAGTATGGTACGGAGAAGTTCACAGGTCGTCATTCCCAAGAGTATGATTATGAGGGGGAACACCGCATGCGGAGTAAGATGTAATACTGTACGGGTCAAGGAGGGAGGAAGATGAATGGAACCTGACCGGAAGATGATGATGTTAACGACGACTGCCAATAACCGCGTACTCATATGGTAACATCTGCATATGTCTCTCTCTCCACTGGATGAGATGCTGCTCTCCCTGCCATCCCCGATGTCGTCTGCAGTAATCCCGAGACCCGCCCAAGGACGCAGACCAACTGACAAGTCGATATATATCTACGAGCACAGATTAGTACTCCGTATCAGGAGCCTGATCACCTCGGATGGAGTGCATATTGTACATCATCTCACCAGGATGGATTATAGCAGGGATGCTGATTCATCACGAGTACGGCTGTACGGATAATCACTCCATGTCTGGTGGGAGATTCTGATACGGGGGATTGAAGCTGATGATCGGATGTCAAGGAGCGCACACACACACACACACACAGAGAGAGAGAGAGAGAGAGAGAGAGAGAGAGAGAGCATCGTCATGATCGTGTACGAGTATGAATCGGAGGCGACACCACTACCACCACGCGCAGACCATCATCTACCCAGACAGAGAACAGCCAGAGAGGAGTCGTAACAGTTCGTACATCTTCCCGATTTAACACGCCACGCCCTTTCCACGTCTACGATGCTTCTGCAGATGGTGGGGCACCCATCAGCCACTGGGGACGATACACATAGTCGGGCAACAATGGGCTTTGACGGTCACTAGCCATCGCCATACAGATAAATACAAGGCACGAGACACTTTTTTCTTTTCTTTTTTTCCCATCCTTTTATCAATCTCTATAGGATCATCCAGATACCACTCTCCAATCCTCGAAAGAAGAAGAAAAAGGAAAGAAAGGAGAGAAGGAAAGAAGACGGATTTTTCAAAGCGAATCAAGAAGAAGAAGAAAGATGTTCTGCCACTCTCACTGCCCTGCTCAGACTCGCCCTGCCTCGACCCCTACAAGCCTCAAGTACAGAGGAGCAATGGCCCCCCGCACCACCGAAGCCGCCGCCGATTCTATTTCCGCGCCGGAGAAGAAAGGGCTGATTGAGTCACAACCTCACGGGCAAAACTCACACCACACACATCCCACCACACATTAAACAGCGACATTCACCATCACACACTCTGAATTCCACGTCCGCATCGCCGACAAAAAACCACCAGCAGCGAATTCACATCGATCCGAGCTTTCCATCGAAAGAATTAAAAATAAAAAAATACAGATACTCAACATCCTCTACCCTCTCTCTCCTCGAGTTTTACAACCTCCCCTCAAGAGCGTCGTCGCATTGCGCACACTCCCTCCCCCCACCACAACCACCACCACCACCATCGCTATCACCACAAAAAAAAAAATCATCATCATCCAGCCATCTCCAGACCATCGACTGCAACTCCGATCGCGCTTCGGTAGCAGGAAGAGGACGGAGGACAGGACAAGATGCCGTCTGCCGTCCTGGGCTTCACGCCCAATCTCGACAAATACCTCAAGTCGATCAAGGGACAGCCCGTAGATCAGTCAGTCGACAGTCTAGTCTCGTGCGTTCCAACCCACGGCTCATCCTCCCGACGCCCAGTCGGACTCCCCAGCCATCGCTGACACTTCTAACCCTCGACAGCCTGCTGAAGCGGCACCAGGTCTCCGGTGCCGAAGAGTGCGCCGTAGCCACCGCCCACTGCCTCCTCCAGCTCATCACCCGCTCCAAGTGGCACGACGTGGCCACCCTCATCTCCCAGGTGACCCGCGTGGGGGGGAGGCTCTCCCGCGCCCGTCCGGACGAGCTCGTCGTCGCCAACATCGTGCGACGGGTCCTCGGCCTGATCCGGGACGAGGCCGCCGAGGACAGGAGCGAAGAGCTGTGCGGCGCCGCCGTCGGCCGCGAAAACGCCGCCGCCGCCGCCGCCGACGACGACAACGGCAGCAGCGGCAACACCCCGACCACGGCCGACGATCATGCCCGCCAGATGCGCGCTCTGCGGTCGGAAATCATCGACGGGATAGAGGAGATATTCGACGAGATCAGTCAGGTGGACGATCAGGTCGGCGCCTCGGCAGAGGTGCACATCCGCCCGGGCGACTACGTCGTCCTCCACCAACCGTCCACCACGGTCCAGCGCTTCGTCCTCCGCGCAGCCGCCCGTCGCAAGTTCTCCGTCATGATCGACACACCCGTCCCCACTCGTCAGGCCGGCGGCGGTGACCCGCGAGGCGGCAGCACCGGCACCGGCACCACGACGGACCGGTACGCCTCGTTCAGGAGGAAGCTGGCCGCCTCGGGCATCACCCTCATCAACATTGCCGGCGCCGGCGCGATGTGCTACATGCCCCGCGTCGACAAGGTCATCCTGGGCGCCAGCGCCATCACCGCGACCGGCGGCATCGTCACCGACAGCGGCGCCTCGGTGCTCGCGCGCGCCGCCAAGGTCTGCGGCGCCACCGTCCTCGTCCTGGCAGGCATCTACAAGCTCAGTCCTATCGATCCCTCCACCGAGGACGACGTCATCGAGTGGGCCAACCCTTCCACCTATGTTGACTTTGCCGACGCAGACCTCGTTCACGGTGTCACCGTCAGGGCTGCCGTCAAGGAGCTCGTCTCCCATACCTCTATCGACAGCTACATCACGAATCTGTATGTTGTCTCCCTCTCCCTCCCTCCCTCTCCCTGTCTCTCCATTTTTCTGCTCAGAAAAGAAACTATAAAATATACTGACCAGCATCTAGTGGCACACACTCACGTGAACACCTCAGTGGTCTGATTGCCGATCATTACAAGCCCCAAGACACCAATATCCATCTGAGCGCTGCATCTTGATTTGTTCTCATCTTGACATAGCGAGCATAGAGAGAAGGAAGCATCCGGGGGGGGGGGGGGGGGGGGGGGAAAAAAAAAAAAAAACCCCCCCCCCCCCCCCCCAAAAAAAAAAAAAAAAAAAAAGCATCCTGATATTTGAGCTTTGTATTTTTTTGGATGGTCAAACTGTTTTCTTTTTTGAAAAATAGAGTCGACGATAAGACGCACGCGCACACACACACACACACAAAAAAGCCCCTCAACTCTTGTTCTCCACCTTTTCCACCAAGTCTCCAACACCCAACTGTCTCCCAACAGCAACCTTGACCTGTCTACCAGCCTGATCGTCCTTTCCGGCATTGGGATCGCGACCGACCTCGCCGACGGGCTCACCTTCGTCAGGCTGCGCGTCCGACGACTTCCCGCCGTCCTTTTCGTCCGTCTCGGCGGCCTCGTCTCCGTCTCCGTCGGCGGCGGCGGCGGCATCGACCTGCTTCCGGATCGCATCCAGGTCGAGGCGCATGCAGAAGGCGTCCTCCCCGTCGGCGTAGTACTTCGCTTCTGTCTTTTCGTTTGTGAATCCCAGCGTCGTCTCGTACAGGTGACGTGCCGCAGCGTTGGACACGCGCACGTGTAGTGAGACGTATTTGGCCTGGTATGTTTCTACCATGGCGAGTTCTTTTATTTCTTTCTGTCAGTCAAAGGGAAAGGAGAAGAAAAAAAAGACATGATATATATATATATGTATAGAGAGAGAGAGAGAGAGAGAAGGAGAAGAAGAAGAAGAAGAAAAAGAGGACGTACGGCTCTGCCTCATCAACTTCTCAGCGATCCCCAATCTTCGATGAGTACGCATGACGCTGAGACTGGTAATGTGCCCGTGCGGCACGCCGTCCGAGGGTTCCTCCTCCATCTTGGCCAGGACATAGCCCACAATCTTGGGGTAGTCGTATGGCCCCCGGGCAGGACGGGACACGTCGACCGCCACGAACGATAGCTGAGGCCACGACAGCGAGTGGTACAGGTAGTACTTTAGAAAGTAATTTTCCGGGAGGTTCTCCAGGTTGGCGTGCTGGATTAGCGGGAGGTCCGCGTTTGTGAGGACTCGGATGTCCATGTTTCTAGGTGTCTTTTCTGTTCTTTTTTTTTTTTTTTTTTTGGGGGGGGGGGGGGTTTCTAAAAAGTTTGGACTATCGTAAGCCTTGTTCGGCGTCGCGAGGTGAAGGGATCGGAGGTTGAAGAGCTTCGGAGTGTTTGTCGTTTTTGCGCGCGTGCACTCAACACTTAGAGAGAGAGAGAGAGAGCGAGAGAGAGCGAGAGAGCGCGAGAAGAGAGAGCGAGAGTGAAGGTTGATGATGCGGTTCGTCGTGGTGGAGAGGTAATAATACGTCGAGGGACAAATTTCATGCTGACAAGCTTCTACGTGGGGCATTTTTCTCTATAAAAAAAACCCCCACATTCGAAAAGCGCCCCCTCTGTCACGGTTGAAACACACACCTACTCTTCTGTCAAGATAAGTAGCTTTTCCTTTTTTTTTCTTTTCCCTCTCTCTCTCTCTCTCTCTCCTCTCCCCTTATTGTCATGGTAATTTAGTCCCTATTCACCTAGGAGACACATATAATTTGTTTGAACTCTTCTTGTCAATTCTCTTATTCTCTCAACTTCAAACCTCTTATGAAAACAACCTGCAACACCCCCAACACACCAGCTATGGCTTCTTCCCAGCTCTCACCGAATAACGGAGAAAAGAAGAAGAAGAAGAAAAGAGGAAAAGCCACATGCAGCATCACATCATTGAACTCGTCATCAGAATATACTCCCTTCCCTTTTTTCCCTTTCTCCTTCCTCAAATTGACCTTGAAAAAACAAAGACCCCCTCAACTGTCGAATCGCTCACTTCTCTCAGACATTCCACATCCTAACCCTTGAAATATTCCACAGGACGGCAGCCGCTTCTAGCTCGCGTTCCCCTTTCCACGGATGGGCAGTTCCCTCGTCTCAGCCGTGGGAGCAGGAATAGCGGCGGCAGAAGCGTCGGCAGGCGAGGCGCCTTCCTTGGTCTTGTCGGCCTGCCTGGCAGCAGCCTTCTTGGCCTTCTTCCTCTCCTTGTCTTCCTGCTTCTTCTTTTTGGCAGCCTCCTCGGCGGCGCGGGACTCGTCGGTGCCGCCAAACCTCTCCTTCCACTCCGCCACCTTCTTGTCGTCGATGCGGGAGAAGAGGTAGGCGGCCTTGCCGATCTTGTGGCCGGACTTGAGAGAGTCGCCCGTCCAGGTATCCGGGATGGATTCGGGCTGCGTGTTGAGCTGCTCGCAGATTTCCGCGCCCGTCGAAGGCATGTAGGGGGAGCATACGGACGCCAGGAGCTTGCACAGGTTGAGGGCCAGGCCGATGACGGTGTGGGTCCGCTCCGGCTTCTCGACCAGGTTGGTGTTGTCGAGGCGGTACTGCAGCAGGGCGTTGCCCTCGGCGCTGATCTCCATGATCTTGCGGGCGCCCGAGCGGAGCTGGACGCGCTCCATCAGGTCGTTGTACTCGCCCAGCAGGGTGTTGACCTTGGCGATCCAGGCAGGGAAGTCGAAGCTGTCGTCGGTGTAGTTGGCAGAGTACTCCGGGACGGTGCCGTCACACTTGGCGTTGACGAATTTGACGATGCGGTTGACAAAGTTGCCAAAGTTGGCCAGCAGCTCGCTGTTGTTGGCCAGGGCGAAGGCCTGCCACTCGAACTGGGTGTCGCTCGTCTCGGGCCGGTTCGACAGCAGGTAGTACCTCCACACCGATGGGGAGATGCCGATGTCCTTGACCTGGTTGCCAAAGACGCCGATGCCGCGCGACTTGGAGAACTTTCCGTTCTCGTAGTTGAGGTACTCGGTCGTGGATAGCTGGTTGAGCATGGTCCACTTGTCGCCGGTACCGATCTGGGACGAAGGGAAGATGACTACGCGAGAGATGTCAGCGCATCTGCCTGCCTACGATGACCGTGTCGGGAAAGATGCATCGTGGAACTTACTGGTGTGGAACTGGGTGTTGTCCTTTCCGAGGAACTGGTAGAGCTTGACATTGTCCGGATTCTTCCACCACTTCTCCCAGTCATCGGTGTAGTTTGCCGTGATGGAGGGGTAGCCGATGCAGGCGTCGAACCAGACGTAAAAGACCTTGTTCTCGTACCCCTCGAGCGGCACGGGGACACCCCACTTCAGGTCGCGGGTGATGCTCCTGCCCTCGAGACCCCTCTTGAGCCAGGACTGGGTGATGGCGAGGCCGTTTGCGGGCCAGCTGTACTCTGACAGGGTCTTGTCGAGCCAGTCCTGCACCTTGGGCTGGAGCTTGTCGAGCGAGAGGAAGAGGTGCTTGGTCTTGCGGGCGACGGGCTGGGCGCCGTCGACCTTGCAGCGGGGCTTGATGAGCTCAAAGGGGTCGAGGAGGGAACCGCACTTGTCGCACTGGTCGCCGCGGGCGTCGTCGTAGCTGCACTTGGGGCAGATGCCCTCGACGAAGCGGTCGGCCAGGAAGGCCTCGTGCTTCTCGCAGTAGGGCTGCTCGGTCGTGCGCTCCTCGAGGAAGCCGTTCTTGTGGAGCTTGAGGAAGATGTCCTGGACGATCTCGGTCTGCTTGGGCGTCGAGGTGCGGCCGAAGTGGTCGAAGCCGATCTCGAACCAGTCGTAGATCTCCTTGTGCTTGACGTGAAACTCGTCGCACAGCTGCTGGGGGGTCTGGCCCGTCTCCAGGGCCTTTGTCTCCGTCGCGGTGCCGTACTCGTCCGTTCCGCAGATGTACAGCGTCGGGCGGTCGCGGAGCTTGCTGAAGCGGGCGTAGGTGTCAGCGCTCAGGACGCTACCGACAATGTTACCCAGGTGAGGGACGTTGTTGACGTAGGGGAGGGCGCTCGTGACGAGGATGCTCTGCTTGCCCTCTTCGGGAAGGATGGGGTTTTGGACGCCCATTTTTTTTTTGGGTCGGTGCCGGTTCGTTTGCTTGAAGAGTTTCTCCTTGAGACCCCCCAAAAGAAAAGAGGCTGATACTCTTCTCTCCTCTATCGACAAATGAGAATGATAACGGACAGGAAAGGGCCTTGGCTCGGAAATGAACGAGACGAAGAGTCCCGAGATGAGATGTGATGGGGTTGCGAGAAATGGCCCGAGGTGACTCAACTTCTGATGCGGGCAAGTTCAATGCGGGCAGCCCACCAAGAACCCACCGAGGGGCAGACCACCCCGCCATTCGCTCCAAGGGTTTTTTTTTTTTGGTTTTTGTTTTGGGCGGTGACTCAAGAATTCTGCCACTCCAACTCTACACATCAACCTCTCTCTGATGGCAACCTCACACTGACCTCTTGCATTGTTTTTTTTTCGTCTCTGTATATATATATATATTTATATATACATGCCTCATACTTCCATCTCACTGTCCTCCTTGTCGTACTTTTCATCAAAGCAAGACTTGGATAGAGAGAGAGGTGGCCGATCTCGTCTGGACACACATCCCTCAACCATGACACAACAGGACGACCTGTTCGACGACGTACTCCACGTCGAGAGCCGTTTCTACAACCAAGGATACAACGACGGCCTACGAGACGGAGGGCAGTCCGGCCTGGCCGAGGGCCGAGCATTCGGTCTACAGAAGGGGTTCGAAAAGTTCCTCGAGAGCGGCCGTCTGGCCGGCAAGTCTGTCGTCTGGGCGAATCGACTTCCCAGCAATGCACCTCCCAGCAGCAGCAGCAGCGGCAGAGATGACGGAGGAGGAACAAGAGGGCAGGGACGGCGGACTGGTACGATGGTGATGACCCCCCTACAGAACAATGCGCGGTTGGAGAAGAATATAAGCTCGCTGTATGCCCTCGTGGATCCCAAGACGGTGTCGATTGAGAACTCAGATACGGCGGTGCAGGATTTCGACGACCGGTTAAAGAAGGCGCAGGGGAAGGAGCGCATCATCGACAGGATAGTTGGGGGTGCGAATAAGGCTGCAGGTGGATCCTTGTGAGGGCGGGCATGATGATGCATATATTAGATGGCGTTTTCTCTCTTCTTTTCTCTTTCCTTCTTTCCCCCCCCTCCCATTGGAACATACAACACTGGGACATAGCACAACGAGGCACGAAATGTACCGAGTCTACACATGACATGACAACACGCTTCCGCATCTATCAAATATAGCTTGAATTTGAAGAGAACAAGGGAAAAAAGAAAAAAAAGAGGAGCATCTATCCACACACTGCGCATGTACAGGCGCACTTACTTGAAAGTCCGGCAAGAGTATCTACACACAGGTCAGTACACGAGGTTGACACGAGCTTTCAACAATAACAACTCGGGGAACAATGATAACTGCGGTAGGGGGGGGGGGAGAATCAGGGGGTGGGGGAGGCAAGGACAGCTGGAGGACACAAGGGAGCAGAGTATAGGAAGGGGGGGGATAAGAGGAGCAAAGGACATACCCTTCGCCATAAGGCTCGCCGACAATCTCGTACCGGTGCACATCCCACCTGCCGCTGGACGGATCATTCCCGGCGGGAGTAGGAGGCAGACCGCCGACGAAGAGCTCGTTTGCGGCATCCTGCGGCGCCTTGACCAAGTGCCTGGCAAGGCCGGCCGTCTGGCCCTCCTCCCTGGCGGCAACGAGCTGCCTCTCGCCAGCGTCGCCGACGAGGTCGAGCTTGGGACGGGCGGCGCTCCCGACGCTCAGCAGGCCGACGACGTCGGCCTGGGTGACGGCGCTGGGCCGCGGGTAGGAACGGCGCGAGTCCCTCTTCCAGTAGGGGTTGTCGGCTATGTCGGCGGCAGGGATGGTGACGGGGTCGTCGTAGGCGTGAGGGTCGTTGGCGCCCGGCGTCGGGTTGCGGAAGTAAGGGTTCAGAGGCACGCCGTTGGACCGGTTGGGGTCAATGGACACGGCCCTGCGGAGCGTCTCCCATATCCCCGTCGACTGGACCGTTTGTTTCTATCGACGGGAAGGAACATTCATTGTCAGTTCACCAGATCCCCCCATCACTTCAATCATCCGACCGGCTAGTCCGTCGATCTGAGCGAGTAGCGACGAGTGGGTGTGATTTCGAGACGCGAACGGAGGGGCTTACCTTGGTAATGGATACGACGTTGCTGGCCGCCTTGGAGACGGACATTTTGAACAGGAATTGACGGATGGATGGATGGATGAGAACGAGATGGGGGGTTGGAGTTTCTCTTTTTTTTTTGTCTTGTCTGAACAGGTTACTACTATACTGCACGATTCAACCCTCCAAAGAGACAAGGGAGGAGAAGACGAGGGGAGAGAGAGAGAGAGAGAGTTTTGGGGTTTGTGCTTGTCGCTCCCGTCTGGGGTTTGGTTAACCGATATTCTGCCGAGAGAACTTCCCCGGGGGGAAACAGCAAATGGGGCAGGTGCTATTACGGAGTAGTAAACTGGGGGGGGGGACTGTGGTCAAGGTTTTAGAGTGGTGGGACTCATGTTTTGGTCTTTTTTTTTGGGGGGGGGGGGGGGAGGGTCTTTTTTTTTTTTTTTTTTTTTTTTTTTTTTTCTTTTTTTTTCGTCTCTTCTCTTTTTTTTCCCGACACAGAATCACGAGTTATTACACGTTGCAGATTACAGCATGAAGAAGAGAAGAAAAAAAGGGGTCTCNATATTCTGCCGAGAGAACTTCCCCGGGGGGAAACAGCAAATGGGGCAGGTGCTATTACGGAGTAGTAAACTGGGGGGGGGGACTGTGGTCAAGGTCTGAGAGTGGTGGGACGCCTGTTTTGGTCTTTATTTTTGGGGGGGGGGGGGGTTGGTTCTTTTTTTCTTTTCTTTTTCTCTTCTTCTGTTCTTTTCTTTTCGTCTCTTCTCTTTTTTTTCCCGACACAGAATCACGAGTTATTACACGTTGCAGATTACAGCATGAAGAAGAGAAGAAAAAAAGGGGTCTCTCTCAACTCATTCCCTCTCAATAACTATCAATAATCGCTATTTCCAAACAGAGAATTAAAAAAAAAAAAGAAAAATAACCAGAACGAGACGAGACAACGATATATAAAAAAAAGGGAATGAAAAAAACAAAAAGACGAAGAATAAAAAAAACAGGAAGAACAGGAAAGACGACACTGATTACTACACATATCTAGTCGTCACCATGATCCCTCTCTGATATCCCGTTCAGACGGTTGAGCAGTCTCTACTTTCCCTCGTCAACCAACTTCTTGACCCTGTCGACCGTGCCGACAGGACTGCCAGCCTCGGCCACGAGCACCTTGCCATCCTTGCCGACGACAAACACGCCGCGCTGGGTTCCCCTGGGCGTCTTCTTGAGACCGATGGCCTCTATCAGGGTAGAGGCAGGGTCGCACAGGAGAGGGTACTGCAGCTTCTGCTTGGTGCGGAAGCCGGTGTTGGCCTTGGTCGAGTCGGCGCTCAGGCCGTAGATGGCCAGGCCCCCGGCTGTGAGGGACTCGTACGAGTCACGGAAGAAGCAGACTTGCTTGGTGCCTGTTATTTTTTTTTTTTGGAGAGGGGGCGGATAATTCCATCAGTCAGCAAGAAGCGGCCAGCCATGAAGCTCAGGTGGTGCAGGAGAGACCGAGTGCGCCGACGGATGCGCAGCGCACCCGGGACCAAGGTTGAGAGCTGATATGATGAAGCGAGCAAATGGGAGGACCAGGAGAGAGAGAGGGAGACGGAGAGGGGGTGAGAGAGGGAGAGAGAGAGGGAGGGAGGGAGAGAGAGAAAAGAAGGCGATATACGTACAGCCTGGAGTAGAAGCCTTGGGGTAAGTAAACAGCACGACACCAGCCTTGCTCTCGTCGACCAGCTTCTTGAGGGTGGTCTTCTCGCCATCATTCGTCTCAATCTCCCCGCCGAAGCCGTCGAGGCTGATGGTATCCCCAACAGCAACCTGCTTCTTCTCCTCCTCCTCCTCCTCCTCCTCCTCTTTCCTCTCTTCCTTCTTCTCTTCCTTTTTCTCTTCCTTTTTCTCTTCCTTTTTCTCTTCCTTCTTCTCTTCCTTCTTCTCTTCCTTTTTCTCTTCCTTCTTCTCTTCCTTCTTCTCTTCCTTCTCCTCCACTTCGTCCTCCTTCTCAGCAGCCTTCTTGGGAGGAGAAGCCTTAGACTTGGCGACAGGTTCCTTATCGTCCTTCTCGGGCACAGCCTTGGTCTTTGCTGACTTTTTGGTCAGTGGAGCTGCAACGGGCAACTGATGAGCCTTGCGCTTGCGTAGTTCAACAGGCATGTTTGGATCTGTTTTTGTGCTTTTGTTTTTTCTTTTGTTTTTTCTTTTTTGGATAGTTGTCGAAGAGTTTGGGGAAAGGACCCCGAGTTGGCGATAAAGAAAAAGAAAGGGAGGGGGAAAAAAAGAAGAAGAGTCAATAGGAATGAGGAGAAATGAATGATGAAGAGATCGAGAAGCCTCTTTGAAAACCGTGTCTGTGATGTAGTTGAGAGGGGGAGAAGAAATAGGAGAGGGAGCGCGACATGGGAGCTCGTCGCAAAAACAACCTTGGAGGGAATATGCGACGCCCAATTGACGCGACCAATCAATCACAGGGCAGGAGCCAAGGTGCGAAAAAAAAGAGGAGCTTGGACCTGCCAATATCTGCCAATATCTGTAATCCCAAACTTCTCTCTCTTTAATACTCGGTAATACTCTCTCTCTCTCTCTCTCTCTCCTTCAATAGCAATCCAATTACTTGGAATCATCATATTTTGCCCAATGATACCGTATCTTTCTCTCTATTGAGACTCCCTCTCTCTCTCTCTCTCTTGAGAATACCACACAATGAATCCCAAGGTATCAATCATGCCATTTTCCATCGGAACAGACGGACACGGAGAAGAGAGAACGCAAGACATGCTGATACCTCATAACTGCAGTCATTCATGGCTCCAGCCGCTGCCTTTACGATGGCGTGCGTACTATTCGCGTGAGTCCCACCATCTCCCCTTGTATATCTCTTTCAGTCTCATCCTCCCCCCCCCGCCCCCCATCCCCTGAACTCTTGTGCTGAGATTCCCATTCTAGATACACAAGATCATCTATTCATTCTGCAAGGGATCAGGCCGTACGTTGAAATCCCCCCTCCCCCTCCCCCAGCACACACACACACCCACCCCTATTTCCCCCTCTTGACCCCTTTATCCTCATCACACCGCATCCGATTACACTCACTCACCATCGCCGTAGAGAACCAAGAGGTTACAGCCTCATCCTCCTCCTCCGCCTCCTCCCCCACCATCTTCATCTTCACCACCGTCTTCGTCTTAATCACATACACACTACTGTTCCTTTGAAAAAAAAAAAATCTTCTTTTTTTTTTAACTTCTATCTCATCTTGGGAGTAGAGATCAAAACAAGAGCGAAACTCCCAGGATGCCCCCGAGATACACATAAAGAGGGAAAACAACCCTTCTTGCCTTGTGATACTAGAAACACTTTTCCCCTCCCATGCGATAGATAGAAAGCACAGATTTCATATGATGCCCAGATGACATGAGAATTCCTCTTTCTTTGATTATCTTTTTTTGCCAAAAAAAAAAAAAAAAAAAAAAAAAAAGTAAACATCTCCCGTCTATACCTACAGCCAATGAAAGGGTATCCCATCCTCTTCTGCTCCAGTCCATTCTTCGAATGATCGGGTTTGGTAGTTGTAGAGACTGATATGTGTGAACGGAAAAGAAAAAAGGTGGGGAAAAAAAGAAGTGTGACGTGGTGTGGTGTGGTATGGTACAGATCCACGTCTGGGGTCACGACCTTGATGCTGTCCACGATGCGATGACCTGCTGATCACGGTGGCCGCAGCGGTGCCGTGTCATAGCCTTGGCTCCTCCTGTATCATGGCCCTCCCCGCATCTCGCGCCATGTTGAGGTGCTTCATGACAAACTCGTACGTCAACATCGTCACCGTCGCCGCGGGGACAGCTCGCGTCATATTCGTCCCCAGCCCGGCATAGAAGGCCCGCCATCCTTCCTCACGCAGGATCGTCCGGAACGTCATGGCGATGCCCCTGTACTTCGGTCCGCCTCCGCCACCAGACGGGAGCTGTTGCCGTCGTTGCGTCTGGAGCCTTGTCCGTATCACCTCGTGGGGGTACGTCGCGCTGCTGGCCATCATCTTGGACAGCACCGACGCCGAGAGGATGCCTATCCAGTGGGATCCTTGGCCGGGTGCCGGGGCCTCGCCCATGCCCTGGCCGGTAAACGTCATCTTGAGATATTCATATGTCGGGAACTGGACTGCCACGTGCGAGAGCCCTAGCAGGGCCGGCGACAGGCCCGAGTAGAATGAGGCGAGCCCTTCTGTCGAGTACATCTTGCGGGCCGCGTCGATTGTCGACCGGTAATGGAGCGCAGAGGAGGTCGAGCTTGCCGTCTTGGTCGCGGGCGAGCTGCCCGGCCTGTCACCCATGTGCCTCTGCGACATGAGCCGCGTTTTGATGACCCAGATGGGGTTCGTCGCGATGGTACTACAGCCGCCCGCAATGATGGAGCACCATAGGTTGATGACGTGGACGTTGTCTGCAGAGGGCAGGAGAAATGAGCTTGAGCTTCTCACCAGTCGAAGAGACGCATCCGAGACTTACCACAATATCGGCTGACCACCACTTTGGCTTCATTATAGACGGTGAACCACACAGCCCAGGTCGGGAGATAGCCGAGCACGATCGGGCCCAGGCCACGGTACATGCCACGGATGCCCTCCTCCTGCCAGATGACACGGCTGGTGCCCACGAGCCCACTGTACATCTTCGCGGTGCTGCCGGCTCTTTCGGCTCGTGCGACGCCTCCCTGTGCCTGCAGCTTGGTCTTGATGACGTCGAGCGGGCAGGTCACGACGCCCGAGGTGAAGCCACCGATGGCACCTGCGATGGCATTGAACTGCGAGTCGGTAGCTCGAGCAGCCCATCTCTGCAGCCAGATCGGAGCGGCGGGGTCGCGGTCATTATTATGCATCGGCTGGGCTGGCCCTGATCCGACAGGGGGCGAGTGCACTGGGGGGAGCGTATAGGCTGGCGTGGGCGCATAATAATTTTCGGAATTAGGCTGGGTCGCCTCGGACTGATGCTGATCGTGAGACATTCCGCTTCTGGTAGACCTCTCTCTCCCCCTGGCTTCTTCTCTTCCCCTCCGTAAGGGACGTCTTTTTTTTCTTTTTCGGGGCCCCTTGGCTTACGCTAGCTCGGTAGAAGAAGAGGAAGAAGAAGCGATATCTACGCAGATTCCGTCGACGATATGGCTATATTCGGCTCTGGTCACGAGACCCTCCGGGGCGAGTTGAGATGAAGGCGAAAGAGGAAGAGAAGAAAGGTACGCGATATCGACTTCGTCATCCGTCGAGGCGGAGGGCCGCGCATCGATGATTTAACGAGGACCAGATAAGTAAAAGCACCATAAAATAAAATAAAAAAGAGTAGCAGACGCAGGAAGCTGCCGGGTGACGCGCTGCGGGGGAACGCTCCCACGCACACTGACCGTTCCCGCTCTAGCTAACGGCGCCGCCCATTGGCCTTTGGGGGGTGGTAGAGAGGGAACAAGACCGGCGGTGGGCAGTAGAGATGGATGCGGTGGATTTGTAGCTGTAGGCGAGCAAGGAAAGGATGGTGATGATGACGTTTCTATTCGGTCGTAGTGGGCTGGTAAATTGAAATTGAAAAAGACGAGAGGCGACTCCGCTCGGAAAGTGGATGGATGACCGATATAGCGGATGGGATGGGCCGGGATAAGGGCGGGTGGGAGGGAGAGACTGCGAGAGAGAGAGAGAAGGCAAAGGTCATACCGAGGGGTGTGTGGGAGTGTGGCCCGTGTGGGTGGGTTGTTGGTGGAGTGGAGAAGAGATCGAGCTTGGACACTTCCTATTGAAGGTTAGAGACAAGGAGACCCCCCCCCACACACAACGCCCACATGCGGCTGTTGCATATTGAAGGGCGGTTACCCTGTAGGGCTCGATGAGGTCACCGACAAGTATCACAGCTGTCATAACAGTGACGAGTTTCTGAACGAGGTCTACATGATCTACCGGGAGTTTATGAATGGGTAAAACTTGCGCTTCGAGCGAACTTGATGTCCTCATACTTGTAGCGGTCACGTTGTGTTTGGTAACGTACAGGACGATGAATGTGACTCCGAAATATGGACATCTACGAGATCTACGAGGACACCTTCGCCAGGAAACGGCCAAGAGTGTTCCTTCCGTCGTATAACTCATACAGTTTCGTTCTCATAGAATCATTCAACCATCTCCAGGGAAAGAGCCAACATGCTCTATAGAGTATCGTGACTCTTTTCTAGAAAAGCATCAACAGCCATGTCAACTTGAACACTTCAACAGCCTACGCACCGAGCCAAGCATCTCTTACACTCTCCATCTAGCCGACCACAGCCAAACACAGCTATCGATGCATCTTATACTGCGGCCATCGTAGAGATGACGCAAAGAACCCAAGAAACCGCCTTGGAAAATACCAGTCAGGCACGTGCGAAGCCACCCGTCGCATACATTGGTGGCATACCGCAGGCAAGGCTCTCGTGGCTTGTCAGCGTCGTGGTCGCATACTTCAAAATCGGCTCAGCCACGTCGTTGGATCAAGCAGCCCTAGGCCGCCATGATCTCATGAGATCACACAATATAGAGACGTACCTAGATACGGGCACCGCAGAAAGGGAGGCTGTAGTTTTCACAGGTTTGTCCACGCCACGGTCCCCCAAGACTCCAACAGCCTTCTGGCTGCCTATCTCTTGGCTCTCTAAATGGCGCTGATTGAGCTGGATTTAACTAGCAGACAAAAGAGACGATCCAGGAACACGGTAAGGCCCTAGGCTTCCCTTATGAAGTATGGTCTGCCTGCAAACGACTCAACAGACCGTTTGCCGGACTCGTCGCGACGTATAGCAGGGAGGACGCTATCCAATTTGGGGACCCGGAACTGTGCACCGACTAGTACAGACAGCAAGTCTGGAACCTCGTGAGAGAGCCCATGAAGTTGAACCGCATGGCTTTGCCGGACCCCCGGCCTATGGCCATCTTCAACATCTCCATAAAGAGAGATGACGACAGGTCTCAGAAGGTCTGCAGTCGTCTGCAGAAGACGCTCGACGCCTGGGTCTCGGGTGATGATGCCTCCTCGGACAATACACACGCTGTCCCGGACGATGACGACGACGACGACGACGACGACGGATTTTTCACTGCGGGAACCTCCGCGGTAATCTGGGACGGCAACGCGACATTGGAAGTCGCGTCCTACCTAGGACATCGATAGGGCCAGGGCCAGGGCCAGGGCCAGGGTCGAACCGAGGACGAGGAGTAGCTACCACTGGCTGGGGGGGTAGCAACCACTGGCCGAAGATCGACCAGTAACTGTCACCGCGCTTCTGACCCTGACCGGGACTACTTCTTCATCTTTTCCCTCCGATGCTCTTCAACCGCCCCCCATGTCTTCCCGGACAGGGAGCAAGCGACAGTTGAGGAGCAGACGGCAACTGAGGATAAATTACTCACTGTCCTCATGTTTTCATACTTTGCCACGATCCTTCGCTCTATCCTCCTGGTTCACATCTACCCTTCCGTTACCCTCCCGGCCGAGGAGCAAGAGCCGGCCGAAGAGCAGGAGCCGGCTGAGGAGCAGCAAGCCGGGGAGGAACCGTGAGACAAAGAGTTGTCCGCGGAACAGACGTCTTCCGAAACATAGTCTTCGGGACAGGATTAGTAGGAATCGTCTAAGAAGAAGTCAAAAAAAGGTGTTTTAGAAGAGGAGGAAGAAGAAGAAGAAGAAGAAGAAGAAGAAGACGCAGAGAAGATAGAGGCCGATATCAAGGCGACAAGCAGATGGCCACGAGAGCAAGTGATGTGAGGTGGGCACAGGACGGTGCAATGCACCAAGAACTGGGAGCGTGGACAAGCGTTATGAAGGTCACAGTATTATGGGTAGTACTAGCATTAGAGAACAGAAAACAGCGATGATGTATTGAATCGACCAGCGGGTTTTCTTGGATGGCTCGAAGTACAGATTGATAGCTGCTATAGCTGTAGAGGTGACGAAATATCTACCTCTCATGTCCCAAACGAAACAATTGCCGCTCTGGATGAGCTGCAGGATAAAACCGGAGAAAAATGACCATCAGACTCAGTCTTATTGGCCATGCTGACTCATAGATATGCGCAGGCCGGTATCACGTGACAAGAAAGGCGGCCCAATTCCAACTTTTGCCGACAAGTTCCACGACTACGGCCAGAGAAGCCCCAGGCCCTTTTTTTTTTTCTTCCTCATATCGCGCATTGGATCTCGGCGACGACGACGACGACGACGACAACGACGACGGACAGCTGCAACAATCCAATCGACTCGGATAGCAACCCCGCTCCGAAGTAACTGAGAATACTGTCTTGTTCCTCCCCTCCTTCCTGATACCATTTGACACTCAACCCCCACCCCTAAGTCGATACAATGGTCTCTCTCGCCCCCTTCGTCAACAAGCGCCCCTGGCTTCAAAAGCTGCTTATGCCCGTGTCCAACTGGTACGCTGGTGCTTCGGGATACCGTCAGCTCGGACTCAGGTACATACACAATCTCTTTCTGTTTTCTTTCTTTCTTTTTTTTTCATCCGCCATACTCTATCTCTTCTGTTGTGCAATTGGTCGTGGTTCTCTTCGGCCCAGCGGGACGGCAGTACCGGAGGAGTGGGGAAGAGGAAGATGATGAGAGAAGGAGGAAAATGAAAAGAAGGAGGAGAAGAAAATGAGAAGGAGGAGAAGAAGATGATGAAGAAGAAGAAGAAGAAGAAAAAGAAGCTGACCATGACCCCCCTCCCCAAATAAAACAGGTACGATGACCTCTTTGAGGAGGAGCGTGAGGCCGTACAGATCGCCCTCACCCGCATCTCCAACAAGGAGGCCTACGAGCGCGTCTACCGCATCCGTCGCGCCACCCAGTGCAGCTACCAGCACAAGCTGCTCCCTCGCTCCGACTGGACCACCGATGCTACTGTATGCTCTCTTGTCCGATCCTGCACGCACCCGCACCCGCACCCGCACCCGCACCCGCACCCACAAGCACAGCCGCACACACAGACGTACAAGCAACCCTCTGGAGAATGATCGAGACTAACAGGAAAAAAAAACCGCAGGATATCCGCTACCTGAGCCCCATCATCCGTCAGGTCGAGGCCGAGGAGGCCGAGCGCAACGCCCTCGATGCCGCATCCATCGTCCGCAAGAACTAAAGAAGCTCACTCGGCTGTTGCTGTCTATCTATACCGAAATAGAACAGGAGAGGAGGACCCGCCCCTCCCCTTTTTCTTTTTCTTACATGTACCAATATAGGATGAAAGCGTGTTTTAGGGAAGAGGGAGAGAAGGGGAGAATATTATAGACGAAAGAAGAAAAGAAAAAACAATAACCGAAAAAAAAAAACACAACGATTCTTCACAATAACTTGGCTGAGAAGGGAAAGGGAGGACGAGGAGGTTTTGATAGTGCGAGTGGAGCAGAATTTATTCCTTGTATAACTTCTAACCACCTTTCAACCTGTATGGCTTCTTTCTGAATTTTCCCTGTCACCAAAAATGCCCCTGTCATGTTATTCGTCTTCTCAAAACAACCAAGTGCTCTTTGGTTCTTCGCTCTTTTCTCTGCTGATTGCATGACAGGTTGACGCTGATTGCACATGACAAAAAGACATCGACATGTGTAATTGTCACTCCGACGTTAAATATTACCACATCATCATCTTTCAAGTAGATGGGCGAGTAATGGTAGATGGTGATATGCAAGGATCAGCGACGGCCGTAGATAGTGAAAGTTGTTGATATTGGCGGTTTTTCTTTTTCTTTTTCGAAGAAAATGTATCTAGTGTACAATGGAAAGAAGAAGAGAGAGAAGAAAGCAAAAAAAGAAGAAAAAAAAAACACGTCTCCCTCGTAAGTGTGATAAGGAAAAAAAAAGAGATGCAGATGGAACTCTTCTCTCCCCATGATTGACAAGAAAAAAAAAGCTGCGCCATGTACCGCCATATATGTATGGAAGATATGTTGGTTGATGGAAGAAGACATGTCCGGCATGATACAGGAGTCCGCCACTTTTCATCGCGACCAGGGCGTCGTAGATGCAGAGCACGACAAAAAAGGAAAACATGAGGGCTCCGTTGTCTGTTCTTTCTTCTTTCCTTCCCTTCTTCTTTTCCGAGGTTTGGTTTCTTTTTTCTTTCGTCCGTGTCCCATATCCTTCCAAATCTACCAACTCCATCATGATGGACACTTGTCGGTCAACATCTCCCGACCCTCCCACCCAAAAACACCATCACCTTCCTCCCCCTCGACTGACCATGGAAAGCATGCCGGACACCAGACGCCACAGAGTCGTAGGGGGTATCAAGAATCACCTCTCTTTTTTTTTCCCCTCCTCTTTTTTTCGGTTCATGTCCGTATGCTCCTCACCGCACAAAAGAAAGCCCATCTTTCGTTTGTCTCTTTTTTTTTCTCACCCTCACTATCCGTCATATTGGGGCTTGTCGACATGTGTCATGACATCCCTAGGGATTCCTTTCATATCTGCATAGGCCGTCCATTTACTCCTTTCTTATTTGCTTTTCTCGCTCGCGTCCTTCTCGCATGTATAGATTTCTGACGCAGGATCAGACACGCTGGTAGAACAGGAGGTAGGCAACCTTGCTGTCCTTGAAGCCCTCTTTGTTCTGCTTCCCCTTATTGTTACCCGCTCCGTTGACGACGTTGCTCCAGCGCTTGCTGCTGCTAGTGGTGTTGCTGCCGTGGCCGGCACCGCCAGCCGAGGTCGTCACCTGTTCCCAGCCGTCCTCGTCACCGGCCTCGTCGTCGTTCATGGCGCCGAACCGGTTGGCAGAGGTGCTGGACGTGCCGTTGCCATTGGCGTTGCTTGCCGAGCTGTGCCCGTCTTCCTCGACGCTGGACTCGGCCACATCCCTGCTGTGCACGCGACGGAGGTTCGTGTCATCTAGGTGCAGCCAGTCCTGGCCATCCTGCCGGCGTACGTCGACCGTGTAGTGGCCTCCGCTGGCGTTCTTGCCGTGGTGGTAGACAACGCTGATGAGCTTGTACCTCGGTAGGGGGGAGCTGCTGTCGCTCAGCGCTTGGCGCTTCTGGCGCGACAGCACCTCGCGCGGGATCTCAAGGTCCAGCGGGTAGTCGATCTTTTTCCAGATCTTGACGGTCCCGTGGCCCTCGGCATCAAACTGGAAGCGCTTCAGGTGCAGGATCAGCACGGGCGGCAGCGATTCGATGAAGACCTGCTTGGTCGCCTGGACGTCCTTTCCGCGGGGAGAGTTGAAGTCTCCCTGCAGACGCTCCGGACGCGTGAGGCCCCGGAGGGCATCTACCACGCTGCGCACCTCGGGGGATCCAATGTCTAGCTGAAGCGGCTGGTAGGGCTCTGTCGTGATGGAGTCCTTGAGTCCCGGGACGCGGAACTCGGACCGGAGAAGACCGCCGAACACCTTGTTGATGGGAGTGGACCCGTTGGCACCCGACGACCGCGTCACGGCCGCCTTCTGCTTCCGGCCGACCTCGAGCCAGTCGCCGGAGGCATCAGTCTGACCGTTGGCGTCGGAGTCGGCGGCCCGGGTAGCCTCGTTGGCGATCGAGTGGTTGACCACACTGGTGCATTCGTCGTCGAGAGACTGCAGGAGGAAGCCGAGGAACTCTTCCGCATCCTGTTGGTGACCACGCTGTGGGAAATGTTAGAACACGCTTCATACAACTGGGAGATAGCGGCACCGAGTGTGCGAGTGTTGGGTAAGGATTGTGGGTGGGACGCACCCTCATGCTGGCGAATCGGGGAAGCTGACGGATAGCGTCGTACACGAACTCGGGTGTGAACGGCTCGCCAAACTTATCGAGGTCCTCGCTCTTGAGCGACCTACGCAGTTGGTCGACAGATGTTGCCGACTTGAGAACCTTGAACTCCCGCATAAACATGATCCTGCGACTTGTCAGTGATGATTGATCGTTTTGGAAAACGTGTGGACGGCAACAGACATGGCATCAATCAAGGGCGTGTCGCTCTTGAAACTGTGGGCAGCCTTCTTGCCGACCTGATCGAGGAAATCATAGAAAGGAACGCAAAACATCAAAACTTGCAGCACCTAATGTGTGTGTCAGCGTGAGGATTATCCCAAAGGAAGACGCTTGGGGGCAGAGCGTACCGAGTTCATGTAGCACATGTTACCAGTGTTGATGAGCCCACGTGGCTCGATGAAAGAGAGTTTGTCATTGTTGACCTTGTAGGCAAGGACAGCCTCGGCCGTCGAGTTGGCGTTGGGCTTGGGGAACAGAGACGAGGCAGCAGTGCCAGCGGCAGGTCCATTGACCGCACCGCCAGCAGCAGGAGCGGCTCCGTCACCGTTTGCTGAGGCACCATCGATAGAGGTTCCGTTGTGCCCGACCTTGGCCGCACCGGCAGGCTTCGCAAAGAGTTTGGCCCAGCTGCTGGGGGCAGCGGGCTTGGGCGGGGGGTTGGCAACTTGGGCACCCTGGTCAGCAGGAGCCTCGGTGTTTGTCGCTGTCGCAGACTCGGAGGGTGGTGCGGCGACGGGCTGTGCCGGCTGTTCCTTGTTCTTCTCGACCGTGGGAGACTTGGGGTTCTTGGGGACGACGGGGACCAGAGGCAAGGCAGGCTGAGCGGGCTTTGTCGAAGAAGGGATACTGGCGACGGTGGGCTTCTCGCTGGCAACCGTTGGGGCGACCGTCTGCTTGGGAGTCTCCTGCGCAGTCTCCTGGGCAGCGGGCTCGGGGGCTTCAGCGATGGGGGTAGTCTTGGCGGCAGCAGCAGCAGCTTGGGCGGTCCGTTCCGTCTGCTCGACGGCGGTGGCGCCCTCGTGCTGCTCGACTGGCAGGGAGAGGGCCTCGCTCTCCGAGGTGAGGGGCTTCCTGCGTGGCTTGATCCTGGGCTTGCGGGCGGGCCAGGGCTGATCGGGGTGTGAGAGCCAGGGGACCTGCATGCAGGAATGAATAGTCAGTATGGGCCAATCTCCCCGAACAGGGGGG